CTGCATAACACTCAATTCTTACCTCCTTACTGATTTGGGAGTCAATGGTATTAAGGTAGAGGAGGAAGAGAAGGGGACTTAATACAGAGAGAGCCCTGTGGGACTCCTGCCTAAGTGCGATGGGTTTCTGAAAACATGCCATTTACTTTAACTCTGACGTTTCTTTCTCTTAAAAAGTCATTTATCCAAATGAGAGAGTTACCCAGAATACCTCTGTATGGACAATAAATTAATTTCTGCCTCCAGATTGTGTCAAATGCTGCAGAAAGATATAGGAAGATTACGGTTGGTTTTCCTGTGAGGCTTATCTTGGAAGCCATCAATAATTGATTGGCAGAGGTAGAAGAGCTGGTCAGCTGTGCTGTGCTTGCCCCTGTAGGCAGTTTAGTAAAAATGCAGGGCCTTATTTTCAGTGAGCCACTTCAGTCTGGTATAAATGATTCTTTTCATCATCTTGTAAAGGATGCTGGTCAGGGAAATAGGCCTAAAACTTTTGCAGTTGGTAGCATCTTTTCCTGGAGTAGGTATAATAGTTAAGTTCTTCCAAATTTTGGGTAGCTTGCCTGTGCGTCAAGAAGTATTAAAAATTGAAGCAATGATCTTTTCGCATTTTCGCCAAGACGTTTTAGCTTTGACTATAAACAAGGTTTGGTCCAGATACATATATGTATGTCATATGTAACTGGCAAATTTTTGTGTTTTCAGGTGGTACCATAATTAATTTATATCTCAGCACAGCCAACACATACTACATGGATAGACTGGAATTTTCTTAAAACACACCTAGAAAAGTCAGGGAATTTCATTCTCCTGTTTGAGTGGCAACCTTGAATTTTTAAATTTGTGTGTGTAAACACTCTTGTGAGAATGTGTAGTAGTAATTAGTTTCATGTTCAAAATAGTGAGCTTATATTAAAAAAATAGTTTTTATTTAGAATGTATGAAGTTTTTGTCCACTATTGCTGTGTGCAGTGTGTTTCAAGGGCATTGTGATACAGAATTGGCCCTTTGATTATTTTTCCTCCGATATTGCTAAGATATGTTAGAAAGTGTTATTGTGCCCTCTGCTAGCAGCATCACCAAAGCTTTCAGTCCTGTATTACAATTGCTTTGATGACCATTAACAGAGATATGATATTGTTGCAAAATGCTCAGCTGTGGTAAGATAGCTTCCCTGTAAAGTGGGGAGTCCTGAGAGATTGTTACACTGTGAAGGTGTAAAGAGTTCATCAGTACTGATACTCTATGTAAAGACAAAATTCTTGAATGGCAAGCACTTCTAACAAAACAGTGGGAAAAGAATTTTTTGCATAGTCCTTAAAAAGCTACAAACTGTGGTAGACTTCAACTTGATTATCTGCAGCCAATTATTTTGGAAATTTTTAAGACACCAATTGTTACTGAAACCATACCATTTGCAGGCAACATTTAGATGCTTATAGCTTGTAATATGAATTTTGTAATTATATGTAAGAAACATTGCAAGATGATGGTTTTGCTGCTATTCAGTAATGAAGCGACATTTCATGTGTACAGAATGGTAACCATCATCTCCAGACATGGACATGGAACATTCTCGTGATCTCAATGAACAGAAACAGATTTACAAAACTAAATGTCTTTTTTTGCTATTCTATCTATGCACAAAGCTGTGTGAGCCTCCCCCCTTCCTGACCCCCATGGTGGATATGTCATATCTTGATACGATTTTCTCAAATGAAAGAAGATCCAGAAAATTTATATTCTAAAGCGAGATGAAGCTCCGATTTATTGGTACCGTGAAGTACCTGAAGGATAGGTCAGTTGATATGATGAAGATCAAACAGCATTATTCAGATAGATAACTACCAAGACCCTTTGATTATTTTTCCTCCGATATTGCTAAGTTATGTTAGAAAGTGTTATTGTGCCCTCACTGCTACAGCATCACCAAAGCTTTCAGACCTGTATTACAATTGCTTTGATGACCATGAACAGAGATATGATATTGTTGCAAAATGCCCGGCTGTAGTAAGATAGCTTCCCTGCAAAGTGGGGTTTGGGTTGCCAGATGTGGAACGAAATCACCCATTTAGTGATATGCCTTAGACGGAGCGAGAACATTCTAGAATGTGTTCTTGGCGATTTTCCTCGAGAAAATTCTTGAAGGTAGGATAAAGTTATATATACTCTGCCTGTATGCAGAGAGAGTAATATCTTTAATTTAGTAGTGTAGTATTGACTTGAGTTCAAAGATTAACTCGAGCGATCGACTGAGTCGGGAGCTGTACGTAAGTGTTTACCTTGAAGCTGTCTTCATCATAACAGCCTGAAGGCTGTGTTGCTGATCATTTCAACGTGTTTATTGTAGTTTTTCGATGACTGTAAACATGTCGAACCCTCCTGTGTAATATTGGCAAATAAATTGTGTTTTGATTCCTCATCAATTACTCCAAATCCACGAACCCGTAGAACGCAACAATATAATGCATACAGGCAAAATGGTAATGCCTTTCAAATATGTGTTGTGTAACAAGATGAGCACACAATTAATGTTTATATATCCCATTAGATCAAATAAATTTATATATTTGAGAGAGACATTCTAATATTTGATAATAGAGAATGGAGCAATCAACGTTGACTATCTTTGGCATTAAACAGTAAAATCTGTTATATAACAAATGTAAAAATGTTCAAAAATTACATCAAAATGCATGTGTTCCTCATTTTGAAGAAAGTACTTGAAAAGGTGCATAATTATTCTGTTTTAATAGAGCATCTAGTGTTCTTTGCAAACATAAACTAATGAGATGCTCAAAGATTATATGAAGAATCATCTTCAAGTGCGACAAAGTCCAGAGAGGGGTGTAAAGAACCCTCTATTAGCTCAATATAAATTTCGCAGATGGCACGGATTCATGCTTACAGAAGCCAACACTTTCGGCTTAACTCAAAAGGTAACAAGTAATATAAAATAAAATAGTATTAAATAAGCCTAATAGCTTTTCACAGGTACTTAATGTGCAGGCAGGCTCTGTCTTGTAAAAATTGCTGTAAACAAGCTTAATGCCTAGAAGTGGTCAATGCCACAGAAATCTAATCGCTAGTAAATCAAAGATAACGTGGCCTTCAGCAGGCATAATACACTGTCGAATCGCCTTCCAAAACCTTTCCTTAAATATTACTTCTTTCTACCTCATTTTAATATACACTTACTATCTTGTTAACATTCTGGCGAGAATGTATGTGTCAAAAACGAGAATAAATGAAAAGTTGCTTAAAAAAATTAACTGTTAGATAAATGAATGACCACAATATGAAGAATTTAACTAATGGCATTTTCTTTCATCCTTTTCAGTTCCACAAAGGAAGTAATGTAATTAAAAAAAATTACTCGTATCCTATTTCAACGAAAATGCATTTTTACCGCTCTTGAATCCATATGAAGGATTTTTTTTTATGTGATATCTGTGCGTATGGCTAGAATAAAGGACTTTTTTCAAACACAGATTGTAAAATAATTCAGAAGAGTTGTTCCCCCCCCCCCCGATATCTGTAGGTATAAAAATGTACACTGTGAAAAAAAAGGGACAGTTCTATATAGGACTATAACAAAAATAATGCCTTTTATTATTGCAAATTAAATCATGTTTAATCCATTCTTGAATTTATTAGATGAAATAAGTGTTTAAGATTTACTTCGTAATTTTTAATATAGGTATTTTGAGTTTTTATGCATTTTTGCCTTGTCACGAAGTGAGAACTGAATTAAATGAATGAGGAATACTGAATCGTGTATGAAAAATTGTTTCTTTTTTTCGTTTAATTTTTTTAATATATCATTTTAGACTTATTATAATATTTGAATAGAACATGTGCAAAGATTAGATAATATAAATTTTGTGCATTCTGAGTTATAAAATGAATGAGATGTAATGCTGTTAAGTAGACCTAGCGCCAGAGTGTCGCTATGGTAAACAAACATGAGGAATTTTAAAGAATGCATTTATTCTATTGTGATTTATGCACTATCAGTGAAGTAGATTTAATTCAATATAATCATGCTTAATCCATGTTTAATCAAGTTTAAATGAAATGCAAGAAAATAGGCGTATAATTTAATATTCCGTACAAGGACGTCATGTGGTGTACACATCAGATCTTTTTCATTGCAGACTAGCGAAAAAAATCCATCATTCATACTTTCAAATAATTTTAACAAAGTGCGTAAACCACATTTGGTGTTATCGCTTATAACAAATATGCCAAATTTTAAAATGTGCCGATATGTAAATTTACACATATCCTAGGAAATGTTTAATAAAAAAACTAATTTTTTGCTGGTATGCTTAGACACACATCTGCTTTAAGATGATTGAAAAAATTTCATAGGTTGTAATGCCAAATGTTTTTCAAAAAATTTATGAAAATCATTTAAAACTAAATCATAAAAAATGGCTGAATTTTATTTGGAATGCACCTAAATTTCAAAATGTGAAAGGAAGAATCAAATAAATTTAATAAAAGGAGATATATATCAAACTCGATTTACATTGATGAGATACACAGCCAGAGTGCTCTGCTTCTTGAATATCATAGTCCTTGTTTTTGAACTTTTGGTATTAAACCTTCACAGTGTCATATGATACAACATTAGTACCTAAAGTTATACACTTGATTTGGTGATATTCTGTACCTGACTTTTTGCAACAGAACTGGAAGTAAATGATGGTTCTAATCTGGTAGCATGATAGTTCCATTTCAGACACCTTGTACTTAATGACAATTATATTTTTTTAGAAATTTCACAACACAGAGTTATACAGCAAATCTTTCTTTCAAATGCCAAAAAATTACTTGACATTATGATTAAACGTGCCAACGCAACCTATTTGTACAGACGATATTTGTGGTGGCAGGAAACTTTTGTTAAAACCTGATGTATTATTATCATCTTTAGACTTAAATTAAAAATGTATTATAAGGAATGAATGAAAAGTCTTTATTATACATAAATATTAGAATGTACAAAAATGTTACATTTATTTTTAAAAATTGTTAATAAATAGTTATAAATAAATTTTATATCACATTTTATAATTGTGGGCACATGTACTGAACAATATTTTCTTCAGTTTCAGAACTTTTTATATGTAGGATTTCATCATTGATGCTGATTCCTTTGAAACAGCCCGAATAATTGTTAACACATTCAGTAGTATGGAGTTTTCCTAGAAAAAAAGTTTTATGGGGAGTGACTACATTTTTAATTAAATATAAAAAGTATGCAATACCACAACAGATAAAACTTTAAAAAAAAATTTTTAAAGGAAAAAATCTGAAAGGTTTCAGATTTTAAATTACGCCCAAAGGGTCTTTTTTTTGAAATTTTGTCAGTTACCTTTACTTATTAAATATTGCGTTCTTCACACTTAAACCATAAAATTCAGTTCAAAAGCAATATCACAAAATAGTTTTAAATTAAGCATATCCCCTTTAGAATTTCCGATATACATTCTCACGCATTGGAGATAATTTTTTTTTTTTTTTTTTTTTTTTTTTGTTTGTTTTGTTGTTGTACAATGTTGCCGTTACTTGCTTTGAAATCCTTGAGTTTGTTAATCACAAATTTGTTAAAGTTTTATAAAATATGAAATTGATAATAAAACAAACTTTAAATTTGGGCTTCCATGTGCCCATATTTGTAGTAGGATTACGTCATTCAAAATTTGATGTACTGTTGTTTTATCATAATGCAATAAATATACATATATTTATGCAGATTGTTCATTATTTAATTTCTTCAAATATAATTCAAGACTCTAAAATCTGTTAGCAACAGTTTGAAAAGTGAACCATTGCAAGTCGAAAACAATAGAACTGTTATTTTAAAATTAAGGTTTAATTGGTTTGACAACTGATTCCAGCATAGAACAGAAATCTAAAGAACTGCCATTAAATAAATTTTTAGAATATCTGAATTTATCAAAACTCTCATTTTACTTCCTTTTGCAACAACATATTTGTATGAAGCAGGTTTTTCTTATTACTCTGTAATAAAATCTAAATAGAGATATTGATTTAATGCTGCTTCTGATATATAAGAAATCAGGTGCTTGACATTAAAAGAATTTGCAGTTTAAATACAAATGCATCCAATTTATTGAAAACTAAATATTTTTTGATTTAGCTAGTTTTGTGTGTAACTTTTTATAAAATTTTAAATTGAAAATCATTTTAAGGTATGATATTAATATTGGAATAAATGTTCCTTTTTATCATCCTTTATTATAAATAAAGTATTTAAAATTAAATTCAATAAAATAAAATTTTCAAAATTATTCTGCTTGGAGAAAAGTTTAGAAAACACTGAATTTTAGCTATGTTGTTTACATAAATTGAACTCAATTCTGTGTATTAACTTTTATAATAAAAATATGTGGTATTTTATAGGATCAATGTATTTTTACCTGGTTTTCCTCCAATATAAATTTCAGCAAAATTAAAATCAGATGGAATGTTCACTTTCTGTTCCACAGCTTTGAAATCATCAAATTTTAAAATAAAGTTATGATTCTTGAATGACATTTTAACTTTATGCCATTTAAAATTACAGGAGCTTTCAGTTCTCAGTTCTTGATAAAGTTGCACTTTCAGATTATCAGGCCCATACAAAGTTGCAATGATCTGAAACAAAAAGTGTATATTTATTTTTATTTAAAAAAAAAATCAAATTGCATTGAATGTTCTATTTTAGTGCAAAAAATCGCTGCTTTAAAAAATGTAAAACGAATAAATATATGATTTATTGGAAGCCTCTCTAATTCCTGGTATTTATAATTAAGTTTAATGATTTAAAAAGAATCATGTTCTATATATTAAAAACATGGATTATTAAATAGCAATCATGAAGCTGTAATTTAACATTCAGTTGAGTAATTATTGTTGTCAAATTGTATATAATGTTTCATAATCTATCAAAGTATCAAGTACTTTTTAAGGGTGTATTATATGTTTTTAATTCCTTCAGTAAATGTATCATACATTTTTGTCCCGATATTTGATTATTTTTTATATATTCAGTAATCAGAACCAAGTTTCATATTGATGTTAATTCCAGCTCACATACATAAACAAACTGGAAGATTTAGCATATGAAAGAATAATATTTAAGGTATCAGTTTATCATTTATATTGCTATTTATTCAGTATGAAGTAGTAATGTACCTGTATCAATAAAATAAACAAAAGGAAACAACCCTGTTAAGTTGTAATGAATAATTTTTCGATAATTAAGAGTTTTAAAAAGAAAATACTGTAATTTCTTGAAAGTGTAGTTCATGATTGTATTTTCGTTGCCTTTTTTGATTTACAGCATGATTTAATAAATTTGAATACTTATAGGTGCAGGCATGTAGCAACAAATTCAGTTTAGTTGCTTGTTGAAAAAAACTTAATTTTGATTTGTTCATCACTTATACAATATGTTTTATAAAAGTGATATAAACTTTCACAAAAATATTGTAATGTATTTTATAGAAAGGATTGTTATTTCATAAAACATGAAATGTGATTTATGTAAATCAAACAAATAAATGATGTAAATTATATGTATAATAAACAATGTAAACACCTTTGAATTGTAGCTAAAAATTTTTGCTTTCTGACCATCTAGCACTGAGCTTATCAGTAAGTCAGTTATTATGATGTAATTATTTAATATATTTTTTGTGTTTTGTTTTTGGCTTTTCTGTTTGCCTGAAATTTATTTTATATTCTCTTACAAACTTTACTGAGGAGGGTAGATACAGAAAATCTCCATTAAAAATTTTTAAAAAATATAGTGGTGCCTCACATAACAAATGTAATCAATTCCATAATGGTATAATTTATGGAGTTACTGTTTTGCACCCTCAAGTTTAATCTATTGCTCGTCTAAAATCATATAACATTGAAAAAAAATTCAAATGATTAAAAAAATAGCACCAATTCAAGGTTGGGAAAAGTAGGTCTTTTTGCCAAAAGAGAGAAACTTAACTGCTCTTAACTTTTTTCATGAATGAAATGACAATGAAAGCATTGTCCCTCCCCCTAAGTTTACAATTTGTGTAATACAGTGTTTTCTCAGCATGGTTTTAAAGTAATGCATGATGTTATTTTTATTGAATAAATCAACAACTTTTTTCATCTGGGTTTACTTATTATTTTCACAAATAAAAATATTTCTAGGTCAATGAATTTTGGGAGTGATCATTAGATTATGATTCCAAGATAATAAAATTGCATGAGAATGTATTTTTAGCATTTGAAAACTCTTTTGCCATACCAGGCGTAACAAAATTATAAGTTATAGAATTTTGCACATTATTAAATTGTAGAAGTGGCATTTAAAAAACAATCAACTTTGAATTATTTTGATGTATAAATTAACTAGCCCATGAAAGCAAGTTGAAAAGGACATAAAAATTTATAAATTTTGAAATCTAATATCTTGGTCAATGTTTGTTACATCTGAATCAAAATTTTCCTTTTTATTTTTGTAATGAGCATAGCATTTTCATAAGCAAAAAGAACTGAAGAAAAGTTGTAAGAAGTTATATTTTGTAATTTTTTAAAAATTGTTTTCTTTAAATTTAAAAGTGCCAAAACATGAATATTTGCATAGTTTGAAACATATTTTCAACTGGAAATATATGTCTGATACCAATGGTTGTTAAAATAAAGGCCAGGTATGGCAGAAGACTACATTAATACATTTGGAAAGCGCTTTAACTAAAAAGTTCTCACTTGCTCAAAATTTGAATTATGATGAGTCAATCATTCATAGTTTAGCATAGTTGTCTATTAAAGTCTGACCTTGTACATTATCAGTTTCTGCCAGTTTGTTCTGTGAGCTTTCTCCTATACAAAGATTCTGAGCTATCAATTCAGTTAGATATTGATGTTTCATTTCTGTTTTAATATAATTGGAGAAAGTAGCTTGTTTTCTTGTTTTTAATCAGTATTTATTTTCTGCCAAGCAAAACTTATGTGTATAGTTCCAACTAATGGCAAAGGAATATGCTTTAGTTGATTTGAAGTCCAAATTAATAAACAATTAAAATCATTCTGTGATAAAAGTGATAATTTACAAAAATTTTAGCATTCCCCCCCCCCAATAAAAATATTAGCAACCTCCTATATCAGGCGTGGCCAAACTGGCTCGCGAGCTGCATGTGGATCTTGGGTGCCTTAACTGCAGCTCATAAGTGGTATGAGACTCTTTGGATATATACTTCTTTAGCAGTTAATTAATAAATATCTTGAATTGTATATGCATAATAATTTAATAGATTTTAAAACACCCAAAGTGCACCTAATCATCAGAGAAACAAACATAATGGCAGATAATTCCATTTCTTTGAATTGTTGCAGTGAACATTTAATAGTCATTGGGACAGCACAAAAGAAGGTTAAATTCTAAGGTAATTTAAATAAATAATATCGTTTGATATCCTCTCCTTCCCCTCAGGTAGATAGCCTTTGTGTGTTTTGTCATACTAAAAACTTAACAAGCAATCAAACAGATCTTTCTTGAATAACAATATCTCGCTTGTGCACAGTGTCCCATTTCACTTATTTTATAATTTCTAGTATAGAATGTGTAAGTTAAAGAAAATCGTGTACTTGCAAAAATCAGAAATTATAAACAAAAGGGGTGTCTGTAAAAAGAACATTTAGTTGCATGTTATATCGAAAAGAAGTATGAAATCTGTATATATTGAAGGGAAAATGAAGAATGTAGAGTATTTTCTGAATACAGAGTTGGAGAATTAAAACTTTTTATCTATATGTAACTACAGGAATTACATAAAAAATACAATTTTTTTATTTATTTACTTCAAACGTATCTTTAAGTCAAAATCTATTTCATCCCTTTTAAAACAAAATTGCCTGAATCTTAAAATGTGCCTTATACTGTCATGAAGCTTGGCCACCTCTGTCATACATGCATAGCCTTTTATTTAGTTTAATTATAAATGCTATTAATAGTGCTACTATGTTGAAGATTCATGTAAAAACTAGGCATAAACTATTATTTATTAATAAAAATATTTAAATCTATTAGCAAAAAATATCAAACTTAAAATATAACTCACCATATCTTTTTGTAAACATAGATCAAACCATATACCACTAAATGTTTGGAAAATACTGAAAAGAGTTCCATCCATTTGAGTTGTTCGAAACTGGAAATCCAAATTTAATTGTTTTCCCAAATGAAAAGCAGCATCTGAAAGACAATTCAATTTCATTAAAATCTGTTTTTAACCCTACCATTTAGATTAGGAGTCTTCAACCTGTGGCCTGTCAAAGATATTTCAATGGCTCGCCAACCTTTTTCCTTGTCAATAAGTTAAAAGGAAAAAGGTTTGTAAAAATGTCTTCAGTATGTAGTTATAGGCTCAACCTATTCCGAACATTAGCTTGTCTGGTGTGACAGTAGCAAGATGCATAAAAGATCTGGTTATGGATTTTATAGCTATTTTATGTACTGTACCTCATGTTACCTCTTTTCTTTCACAATTTAAAAAAAAGTACAAAGTATATTGATTCAACAGTTAACAGTAGTCTTGTAAACCTCTCTCCTCTTTTATAAATTTTTCTGCTTATGCTACTTATTTGACAGATGTGTCCTGCAGATATATATGAATTTATTGATGTGGCCCTCAGGTGTGAAATGCTGAAAAACTCCTAATTTAGATAAACCCCTTGACATAAAATGGCATCCGGGAGACGTCATTCATTGCATGTGCCATTGTAGACTTTGACGTCTCCAGGGCATCAAGAACTGGCTTTTAGCCAATGCTGTGCAGTATATTATTATTGTTATATGGCAATGTAAATTGGAAAATAAAATGTTCTGTTTGTAAGCTTGCACATGAGTGTCCACAGTTGAGCCAAATAATATTCTTAGAATGCGTCAACACGTATTTTATTTGTATGTTAAGGGGTTAATCTATAATTTAGCAATTTATTTCAAGAATATTTCAGTATAAATTTTTTTGACCATACCTTGTGTAATATAACCAGTGCCCGTAAAGTAGGTACCAAATTCAACATATTTGAAGCAAGGACTTTCACTTGAAAGCTTTTTGTTTTTTCCATTCATGATAAGATTTTGGAAACAGCCTTTAAAATCATTTTGAAGCTAAAAAATAAATAAGTAATACAGACATTGCCAATATATCTATATATTTCAAGAAAATTTTAAACTAGCATATAAACTGATCTCGCACTTTAGTAAATTAATATTTTAAATAAAATTAATATTAGCAGGACATTACTGATAGGAGCATTGTAATTCAACATTTGTTTAGATAGTTAACTGTTATGCTGTTGAAAGGTGATTAAAGAATCTTCTCAGCTTCTAAAACAGTTTGAGTTAGGAGCTTTCTGAAAATATTTTTTGAATTTGTATTACAGTTTTCAAACTGAATTTCTATTGTTCTTCATTACTTCATTCTTTTTTAATTTTTCTCATACCTGCCTCAGTTACATTTATTTGTTATTTATATAAGCAACTTTAAGATATGATTAACTTCGAAAATAGTTTTAAAAAATAATTAATTTAATAGGCAGTTTGCATTAAAACTGTATGTCTTTTGTTATAATTCTTCACATATGTAGTTACAAACACATTCAAAATAAGCTTATTTATTAAAGAAAAGAGGCTTTCTTGCATTAAAAATTCTCAAATAAAACTACAGGAAACTAATTTTGGTATCTTTGCAAATTTCTTAATTCCAAGATTTTTATAGTGATCAATAAAAATTGAATTTATTAAGTTGCTGTAATGAAAAATCTACAGAACATTCTCAAAGTTTCTGCATAAAGGGAGTAATTATGAGCTTTGATATGCTTTTGAATAAGTTCTTTATTCAAGACTGCTTGCCCTATAGCTTCAGATCTGAATTCAGGACGCTTGAATTTTCTATTGTGCAAATGTATGATTTGAAAAGGCTACTGTGGGTACCAGTTACAGGTGTAATGCAATCTTAGTAATTCATGTGCTTCTGTAATGGCAATACAAACTTTTAAGATCAACCTTATGTAGGTAGTTATTAACCTGTAGATTGCAGGAGACTCACGTATAATATTATTATATAGAACTTCATTTGAGATAAAAAAAAACAATGGGGGAAGATAAATTGAGATTTTGCTGTATTTCAAGCGATAAGAAAAATAACTTTCAAGGTGCTTGAAAATTCTATTTAAACAGTAATAGATGTATTATAAAATTATTCTTATGTATTATAATGAATAGCCCATTACCCAGACAGTATAGTGGCTAGGGGAGCTGAGCGATATCGAAGAGCCTGGGTTTGAATCTCAGAGAAGGCAAAGAACGCAAATTGTCTGTTCCCTCACAGGAGGTAATGGTGGTTGCCTATTAGGTGCCTCCACAATAAAATGACCATCACTTCTGGCCTTAGTTAATGGTGAAAGTCTTAAAATGGCTAGTGCCTGCCATAAATAATAATGATCAATAGCCCTATTTTTGCATATCTTGCATAATGTTTAGATCGGTGTGGAGCATTTAAAACTCTACAATAGGTAACTAAATAAGATAAAGCTTAAAATTCAGTAAACTAAACATAGAACAAGAAAGTTTGAAGTTCTTTCACAGTGATAAACTGAAAAGAAATGAAAACTGTGTTCTAAAAATTTGTTATAAGAATTTCAGTCTAGAAATATTTCAGGTAAAAAAAATTATCTGAAAGTCACTTACCTCATGTTCAGTCTTACTAGCTGTTGGAATGCCTCCAATGTATAGTTTTTTGAATGGCAATCGTTTTGGAACATTTAGTGATATACTTTTCCTCTTGTCTAAAAATACTGATAAATTCTTTCCATGTTTCACAAGTTGAACCTATTAATACATTTAAATTAAGAAAATTCTTTCAAACCAAAAGCTTTACACAGTTGTGATTCTTAGATTTCATACAAAAGTGAACTTAAGTATGTATGTTGTACAGATATTATTTGAGGTAGAAATCTTTATGTTAATTCAAACTTTTTTGTTATTCCTTTGATTTTTATCAACATCCAAAGTTTAAAGGAAAAGTAATGAATAAAAATATATTTAAATAGCATTAAGTTGTAGCAGGAATTTTGGACAATGGTTTTCCGTGATAGAAAACTATTAGCGAGGATGCAAATTTAACAGAATTAGTATGATTGTACGAAACTTGTTAGTTAATATTAGAATTTCTGTTGAATGAATGGAAAATTTGTTAAAGAAATATTTGTTCAAAGTTTGAGATGAATAGAAATTCAAATAGTTTCTTGATTAATTTCTAGTATAAGTTCCATGCTAATGTTTGTTGTTATTTTGGCTATCGATATTGTATTGTTATGAATTTTATATAGTGTAACACAAATGGCTTTAAGAAAATCGAAGCTGTGTTGGAAAAATAAGATTACAGCGGTAAGTCTTTAACATTGAGTAAATAGGTGATAAAACGGTTTTGACGACTAATTTTTGTTGCAGAATTTGGAGAGAAATTGCCTACAAGCATTTGGTGACATTTTGTTTGAAAAGTGTATAACTGTAATTGTATCTGTCCCTTATATGTAACTTTAACCCTATATGCTTTTCAGTAATTTTAACAAATGAAAGGTACTGAGATTTCTTGGTGGCAACAAGGAAAATATATAAGTTCAGAGAGAGCATCAATTCTCAGTTTAAAATTCAGGGCAAATTTTGGAGTGTTGAGACATCTCCATTCAAGCTTTGCTCTTCAGTTGTGCTTTGCAATGCATTGTGTTTAACGTTCTTAACTACTGGCTGTGCTCTGTCACACTGAGAAGAGCTATACAAGTATTTCTGTGGAAAATTCTAGAACTGTAAAGTGTTTCTATTGGGAAAATACGCTTTATCAAGCTAATACTGGTTCTGTGTGCATACAATCCATTACGAACCCGTACGTACACAACAAAATGAATGGACATCTGTTAAGGATATTAATGGAATTTTTATTTAAACCACTGTTATTGCTTCACAACTCTCTTCATTTATTATTTTTTGTATTGGGTGTCAAATCTTTCTCAGAAAAAAATTAAGTTTAGATTATCAATGATTAAAAATAACCTTGAAGGTGATTTAGATTTTTTAAACATGTTTTAAGTTAATAATGCATATAAAACAGATCAAAGTAAGAGTTATTAGGAATAAAAGAATTCCCTCATACTTTCTTTCAGTCCTAGTTGATGGTCAGTTTATGTGTTCAAATAGAGGAAGGGTGATTAATGTGATTATACCAACCGATGCATTTCAATGATATAGTATTGCAATTATAAAATGCTTTTCTTTCTTCAATATTGTGAAAAATTTTAATATATTTTTGTACATATATAACACTTCTTGACTAATAAACATGATTCTTTATAATCACAATTGAAAGGGAAAGAAAGAACTGAATTTAATAAAAATTTAAATCTATCAAGGATAAGAAGTTTCATTTTAATTATGTAGTTGTCACTTTATCACTTCTATACTAAATAAACAAAATTATTTGGATTATTTAACAAGTCATTTATTTAAGAAATTTATCAATTTAATTTTATATAAATCTTACCTGATGCCATTTTCCTATGGTTAGTTCTTTATCACTTTTTGCAAATTTATTGTCTTTTTTCCTCAAAAAGTCTACTTTCACTAGACCTTTCTCTAAAAATATTGAACAGTGCAGTTTTTTATGTTCATTTGATAAAGAAATAATATTTCCATCGGGATAGAAAGTCCTGAAGTCTAATGATATATTGAGGCTGTAAAAAAGAGAAACTATTAGAATCGAGATCATTAAGCATATTAGAAATAAGTACACGAAAGTGGATTAAGAAAGCAAATCTAAAATAAGCTTTGGTTCTAAATCTTTGTAATTTTCTGAAGTAATATAAAAAGTATTTAATAATAAAAGGAAAAATATTCTCACATTTATAAGAAAAAAAATTGTTTCTATAAGTTATTTTATTTCATGGAAGGCACCAAACAGAGTTTTCATTCAAACAACATCTTTAATTATAATATGGCAAACCTGAGATGGATAACAGAAAAGTATAATAACAACTAAAAAGAAAGTAATAATCGCTTAAGATGTTTTAAAAAATGTTTAAAGGGGTTTCTTAAAAGAAGGCTTCAGACTTTATTTCCTTAAAATGAATCCTAGATGTGTAAATAGATTAGCAGATTTTATGAGAATAGTTTCAATACCGGAATAGAACAGTTATGTATACAAAATTTTATTTTTTTATAAGGTTCTTATGGAACATGAAATCCACTAAATAAAACATGGGCTCGAATCCCAGAGAAATCATGGATATATGTAAATGTATGGTATCTGTATGGCATGGGGGCAGTCTAAATATGTGGCAAGTTGAAAGTCCTCTCGAGAGGTAGGTGGTAGGGAAACAGGGGTAGGAGATCCCCCTGGAGTGCTGTCCTTCAGAATTGGGGATGGAACTGAGCAAAGTTGTACTGTTGCCAATGACATATGCAATCTTGCACTCCTTGCCAAGATGAATTTTGTAGGTTTGTTTTGATGTTACTGTCAGACAAGTGAGGTAAGTCACAACAACATTAGTAGATTTAAATACAAAAAATTCCCTGCATATGTAAAGTTCAGTGACATAGGTGTAATTAATATTTTATCATGGCCAGCTATAAAGTTAAATAGCCAGTACTGTTTCACCCCAGCATAAAACTTAATCACTTACTTACATGAGTTACTTTTTAGTTTGTTTCATTAAAGGAATAACTAATTGAAAAAAATCTAAGAATATTTTTAAAGAAAGTTAGCAAATGAGTATTTTGGCCCACCAGTGGCCAAGGAGTAAAAGCCGCTGAACACTGGTAGTTTGATCAGTGGTTCGAGTTTTGGTGAATGGGCTGGCTGTATGGGCATTTTTGTCGTTTTTTCCATGTGTAATGTGGATACGTGCCAGTTTCCCTTAAAATGACCTCCACTGGGCATCCCTCCCTTTCTGTGTAGTGCCTAAGGGTGGAGCACGTAATAAGTTTAAAAAAAAATATTTTAATACCCTTACAAAAGCTGCATATAAAGATAAGAAACTATTTGCTCTACATGTAACATACAACATATTGCATTAAAAACCTATTCGGCCCCCACTACTAAAATATAAATCCTAAAATTTAGTATCTTATTTTGAGAAATGCACTGGAAGTACATGCTTAAGGGTTAATATCTGAGGAAATAAAGTATTTAGCTACCATTTTTTAACATTGTATATAATAATGAACATTTGACAAAGCAGTACTTGTTTATTATTTCTTTTTTGTTCAGTGGAACTTGAATAGATTTTCTGCTTTGATGGCTAAAAGCATTATCATCAAATTGTACGTCTGATGCGCAAAGTTCTCCTGGTATAGATGGGGCTATCTGCTGCAAGATTTCTTCGGATACACTCTGCATATCAGGAACTCCAAACTCGATTCCACTATGACTTACTGCATTTTCAAATCGCAATAATCTAAAAGATTAATTTTAATAATAAATAACAGTAAACAAGTTATTATTTCAGCAGTATTTCATATATTATTTTATTTTTGTGAAAAGTATTCTGCAATGCAATTCTGTTAATATCACCAATGATATTTTTATCTCTGAAAATATGGTTTTTGGTATCCAAAGCTGTGCAAAATTCATTATTTAAAAAAGTATATAAGCATTTCATTACAGAAAATTCCAGTTTGAATAATTAATTCTAGTGACTGAAAATTATAGTTGAATTTGGCCAAAAATTTATTTAAAAATATATAAGGTAAAATATAGTTTTTGTATCTTAACAGTGCTAGCAGTTTCTGCAATATATGTTATGGAATACACCAGTTTGGTAAAACATTGAGAAACATACATGCATTTAATGATTTTTAAGATTTTTTTTTTTTTTAAATTTCTGTACTTTATGAATACAAAAAGATAGTAACTGATACAAGTGGCACAATTAGTGAATTTATTTATCTTTTCCTTCCACCCATACCTCTGATTTTATATAACATTTTTTGAAATACTATATTAGCTTCAATAAATATGCTAAGTTGTATGTTTATTCATAATTTTGATTGTAACAGTTTCAGACAAAATTTAAATTTGAAGCATTAAGAGAATTTTAAGCTTATTGCTGAAAAGAATGCAAAAATAATTCTGCTGAAAATATTTTTGATTACTTTCTCATTCATAAATAAATATAAAATAATACAAAATTTATAACAGATAATTTATTACTGAAGCAATAGATTAAGTTTATCATCAATCAGCAATATGCACATAACTCATGTTTCAAAATATATTAAAAGAATAAGACATTTTCTTTTCATTTGTTGTCATTCGTCTGTGCACTCTTAGATAAAAGTAACAATAGATTTATTTTACTGTTGAAACAATATCAAAAATTTATGTTCAAGTATCAGATATTTGAATAAGTTTTCTCTGATAAAAATTTGTTTTTGTGAAAAACATACCATTCTGACTTGCAAATGATTATATTAATTTAGAATTCAAACAACAAAAATCATAAATTGTTTGAATTCTAAATTAATACTTATTTACATGTTATTTTATCTTAAATGATTATATGTTGCTGACTACTATTCATTGTATCAGATTTATTAATTCAGTTTCTTACTTATTGTTGAATACTTCATCTTGAATAATTCCAATAACTAGTTGCTGACCAGCTGCCATATTACATATTTATGCTTTCCTTTACACCACCAAAATATAAACCTCCTTTTTGCAGAATGGATACTTCTTTTGCACCCTTTGGATAAATGAATATCCACTTGTTCTTCATCGGTATACAATTCATTGTATCAGGTCACATCAGAAATAATATTTTTTGAAATAGGGTTTGAAGAAAAAATAATAATAATTTTTAAACCCATTTGAATTGATAACATTTTTTCTGGTGCTGTAATAGGTTTTCCCTGACATACCTAAAGAAATCGGTTACCTAATGTACTGTCTTGGAGGTCCATTTCAAATGCTTCATGAAAATTGTATTCTTTTCCATCAATGAAATTTTGCAAGTTTCAAGCCACCAGTCATTTTTTGTCACTAGTATCTAGACCAGGGTTTCTTAAACCTTTTGATGTGGGGTCCACATAAATATTTACGAAAATTTTGTGGGACCCCATAAGTAGTACGCAAATCCGACACACTAGTGAGTGAAACTATCAGTTTCTTCACTTGTACTGTAATATATTATTGCAATTTTAGGTCATTGTCTTTAAATTTTAAAGTAAAATGAACATTCCTGTTATATATATATATATATATATAAAAGCATCTAAATGTTTTCGTTTTTTCTTTGTCTGTATTGCCCTATCTATTTTCAGATACATTATGTAAACATATTTGGTAATTATAAATTTATTATAATGAGTTAAAGAAATATCAAAATTGCTAAATTTTTGGTGACCCCCTACTGCAAGTCTCATGACCCCAATTGGAGTCGCGAGCCACAATTTAAGAAACTCTGCTCTAGACAACTAAAAAAAGAGATTTTTTTCCGTACATGAATGTGCATAGGCTTACATGTTTTTTTCAATTAAGTTCATGTGGAGCCATCTGCAAAACTTAGTCATGATTCCAAGTTCCTTCAAATGGCAATCAACAGTGTCAACTGATGATGATATATTAACTTTTTCTAATAACTCTTCAACACATCAGTAACAAAATAGACACAGCGACAACAGCGTCTAGCTTCTTTTAAGCTAAGGTTATCTTGTTGGAATTTAAAGAACCAACACTGACACTTACTAATATTAAAATATATTTATTTTATACTTCTTTCAGCATTTGTTGCGGTACTGCCTTTTTTATACTCGGAAGGTGTAAAGTGTCTGATGTGCTCTGTGTGACTGCCATTTTCATGAGGGGTTATTACAGCAACAAAGTAGTGTACCCATGTGGATTGCTAGCCAGAATTTATCTGAATAAAGCTATTTTTGCTCAGTGGTATTTACAAATCCATGAAAGTTACTTGTTTTAAATCTGTTATAGCATGTTTTAACAAGTCATGCCTGAGAAATGACATTATTTATAGGTATACTTGATATTTTTTAGCACAGTATGGCATACTATCTTAAGAGTAATAATGCTTATTCCTATTTATGGAAGAAACTCAGAGCCATAGAGATGCCCAGCTGATAATAAATTCACTGAGCATGATAACCAGGAGAATTTACGCTCTGAGTGAAAAGCGTGGGCAAGAGTTATCGAGTCGAAAGATCACATTTGAGATCAGAGTCCAGCAATCACTGATAATTTATTGTACAATATGCCTCTAAATAAATAAGGAGAATAAATTACTCCACTCTTAATGAAACCTTATACATGATCTGTATCTTGATGGCATATGTTTTCTGTTTGTTTACCTAATACTAAAAGTGCAAATAACTGTCACAACCTCCTAAATACAATTTTCTTTAAATCTTATTAAACTTAAATTTTCCGTTAAAACTCTGTCAGTGGAAAAGAGACAACCATCTGCATGAAATTCATTGTTGCTATTAAGGATTTTTACCTTATTCCTTCAAACTGTTGGTAATTTCCATTAAAAAGGAAAATCGCTACTTTTTTTTAGGGAAGGTTAAGACAGAAAGAAGGTATTTGATGGTAAATCAGCATGCATAGTTGTTGGTGAGTTTTACAGAATTAAAAATCTCTTTATACTTATAATATGATGAGATTTTTGATTTTGTGAAACTTGCCATTGACTATGCAAATTGGATCTTAACATCATAAATATCTGTAAATAAATTATGTGTGAATGTGTTCTTTCTCAGATACCTAAAATGCTATAATATAAAAAAGAATGGTGATCAGGAAATGAAATTTCATATTATGCAATAAATATCTGTAATACTTCACTCACACATATGTGGGCCATTATAAATAAATTAAAGTATTTTATTTATCATTCTCAGTGCTTCCTGGAAGATAAAGGCTATGGAAGTAATATCATTGTACAAAAAAGCTGAATGCTGGTTTAAATGTTGATAAAAATTATGGCACTACCAATAAACATAAAAATGAATCAAATTAAATTCAATTTCTTACTTATTATTGAAAACTGCATCTTGAATAATTCCAATAAATGGTTGTTGACTAGCTGCCATATTGCCAACATTTATGCCTTTCTTTACACCACCAAAAAATAAACCGCCTTTCTGTGGACTAGATACTTCTTTTGCACCTTTGGATAAACGAATATCTGCTTCTTCATCATCATCAAGCCTTAATACCAATCTATAAGATAAATTAATTTATGCATTCAGAAGAAAGGACTAAAATTTATGCTTAGTATATATAATCTACAACTGAAATTGATATTAAATATAATACAATCCTTAATTATTAATATTGAGACTAAGAAAAATTAACATTAAATCAAGAGTGCATTTGAATTAGATTTTAAATTAAATGTACTACAAAATACATTTTTAAATTTTTTTTTTTTTTTTTTTTTTTTTTTTATGCACTTACCAATTCTGTAGATCAGATGTAGCAACCTTTCTTTGGCTGCGGGTCAAAATCAGTCAAAATACTTATATTAAAGAGATATTTTGGGTTAGTGGTATTTTCATTTTAGAACAGTCTTTCTTGGCGAATAATAAGATAAATTTTATTGGGAAAATAATTACAATACGCTTCGAAGTTTAAAAATAAAAATTATTATTATTATAAAAACAAACAATGAATGTCAAGTCTAGTTTATAGTTAGTCATCAAGACAAATACAAACATCTTAATTTTGATAGTTACGGTGCTCACATTCTTACTTAAAATAAATTTCATGTATGAAAATATTTGCTTGCGTTTATAAGTTGAACCAAAAATGCAGACAAAATAACAAAACTTTTCTTTTTTTTTTTTTTTTTTTAATTACGGATCGTGGTTCCCAAATTTATTTTTCCTCGAAATGTTACAATTTTTATTTTTTAAAAATAAAAATGTATGTTCATTACTGCAACTTTAATCCAATGAAAATTGTTACGGTTGTTATTTATTTTCAATTTATTTTTTATGTATTCTTCAAGTGCTGGTATCATATTTATAATTTATTTTTATATATTATATTTTATTTTCAGAACTCAGGTAGGTCACTTGGTGACCCGTGGGTCATAGGTTGGCAAGGCCTGATCTAGATATTTTGTATTTTAAATCAATGATTTTTATATTGGTATTACATTACATTTTTTAAAAAGCTTAACAGTGTTTAACATTTCAAAGCAGTACTGATCAGCAATAATGAATATGTTAAAAAACCTAATTCTTATCAAACATATCAAGGTTGTCCTTCCTGCACTATGTAGAATCACTCATTTCAGCAAGTTATTTTGATATCTCTTTCATTCACTTTATCTTTGTTTTCAGAATAAGATAATTTCATATCCACTTTCTGTTTATCATAAATATCAAAAACTTATTATGACAATTTATTAACTGCAGTTTTTAAATCTTTTAGAGCAGCCTCAAGTGAAATTAATATTAAACTTTCCTTAGAAAGTAAAGTTGAATACTAATGTGCTTGTACTTCACTGGCTTTAGTTAGAAACTTTAAGTAATTTAGCTGTAATTTAAATAATAAGTCCATTAGCTGCAGTAAAATGATGAATTAGAAGCTGTCACATAGAAAGAGAAGTTAATGTGGCAACTTGACATTTTGATTTGAACTTGCTAAAATGAACACCATTTTGTGAAAATAATGTTTTATTAAATCCTATAGTAAAAAGTCTGAGATCCAGACACGTCGGGACTTTGGCTATTGCGAATTTGGGATCATCAATTTAAATCTGGTAAGATGATATGTAGAAATTATAAAATGAAAAATATTAAATAATGATTTATTATATAATGGCACTATATAAATAATGATTTATTATATAATGGCACTAAATTCTGGCACTCCATGTGGCTCCAGCACCGATCATGAGCTAATCTGAACAACAAATCAGTTATACTTGATCAAGACAGCCCTAAATGTAATCTTTTGGCCTATGCGTTTCATTTATGAAATCTATTTTGTGTGTATGAACGGAAATTTCTGTTAAATTTCTCCTTGTCAATTCCTCCAACACTTAGCAGCGAAGTTAGCACTTTGCTGAAGTCTAATCATTGCCACGTGTAATGTCAACATAAAAGGTTACCATGCTCTTTTTAATTATTAATATATAAAATAAGAATTATTCATGCATCTTTGTGTGAGTCATTTCTCAGTCTGCAGTGTGTTAATAGTCATGCAGTAATGAAAGCAGAAAATAATAAATAATGATCGCAGAATTGGCAAAGTACTAAAGTGAAATTAAGAATCAGAACTCTCCATGTGTTTCATTAGGAAAAGATAGCAAATGCACGAGTGTAAAAAAACAAAAAAGAAATGAAAAGCGTTGTTGGTGATCTAGTGGTTCAGATTTTAGATCATTCCAGATACTGAATGTCCAAATTTTGGACTATGTACTGTACCTTCTTCAAATAAGCTTTTAGCTTCCCATCATTACCACTAACACACTCATTGAGTCGTTGATTTGCACAGTGTGTTAGCAGAAGCACAGCTGTCTGTTTTTCAGATGCATAAAATCTAGATAAGCAAGGGTAGTAATAGTCAATGAGAATTTTTTTTTTTTTTTTTTTTTTTTTTTTTTTTTTTTTTTTTAAGAAATAAAAGCTGTTCGTAAGAAGTGGGTGAAAACAGCAGAATTGGAGGAAAACATCACTAGTTTTAAAAATGACTTCAGATCCCTGTATAGTTTTAAAGTAATTTTTATCAAACATTATTGTTAAATTAAGAAATGCATTACTAAATAAAAGGCTATTTCATACTGATTTTATACACTTGGGGGCAGACAGTGAAAACAAGTTTTAAACTAAGAACATTATTACACATTCAAATATTGAAAATCCGATGATATGGAATCTGTAACTTATCAAAATGTAAACATTCAGCTTAAAGGTTCAGGAAACCACAGCATGGAGAATGAAATAACACAGGAAAGAGAAATACTTACTAAATCATTGGGTATCATGATAAGAATTATCACCCCCTCCAATCTGCATCCAGGTAAAGAAGCAGACAACATCACTCAACTTCTCTTTCAAGTTCAGGACTCACACGGTTATATTTGCTGAGCTTCGGGTTTTTTAATATATTAAAATATAATTTAAAAATATTTTTAATTTCATCACTTCCTAATACAGTAGCAGGTAAGAAACACGTTTGTGATTTTAATGCTTGCAACATTGAAAAACGTAAACCCTTAGCATTGAAGGCAATGTAAAAAGTAGAAATTTTGCAAAAGATCGAGGGAGGTGCTACTTCTCGGTTTATAGCAGAATTGTATGGAATTACGACATGGACTGTATATGACATACCAAAAAATAAAGAAAAGTTGTTGAAATTTTACAGCAACAGTGATTCTAACAATAGAAATCTTTACGCGAGATGAAATCAGCAAACCTCGATGCTGTCTTGTGTGAGTGGTTTGGGCAGCGGAAGAGTGATGGGGTACCAATTTCAGGACTGTCCTGAGAGACAAAGGGAAAACAGAGTCATGCTGATTTAAAAATAGAGGAAATGTGTGATTTCAGCAGCAGTTGGGTGAGCAGATTTAAACAGAGACACAGTGTATGTTATTTGAAAGTTTGTACGGAAAAACTTTAAGCAGATAAAGATGTTACAGAAGAATTTATTGATGAAATTTTTGTGCTGTGGTAGAAGAAAATCCTGGCTCAGAATATATTTTTAATATGAATGAGACTAGACTTTTTTAGTAGTGATGTTTGCTAAGAAAAACATTTGTGATAAGCAAAGAAAGTGCACCATCAGGGGTGAAAGAAGCTAAAAAAAGAGTTACTATTTTAGTATGCAGCAATGCAGCTAGAACTTACAAATGTAAACCAATGGTAGTGGGTAAGAGCACCAATCTCAGAGCTCTGAAAGGAGTAAATCCTTACCTATGATTTACAGAGATAACAAAAATTTCTGGTTCATGAATCAATTTATGACCGAATGGTTCATGGAACATTTCATTAGAAGGCACTGTAACAGTACAGGTTTAACCATAAAATTATAGATTTTACTATTGTTAGGAACTGCTCTGCACATCCAGATTCAACCATTTTAATGCGTGTTAATATAGTGGTTCTTTTTTTCCCCAAAAAAATACTATACCATTGATCCAAACAATGGACCAGGACATAATACACCGTACTAAATGCCACTACAAATCAGAGTTTTTGAAAAAAAAAAAATCCTTTCAAAAGACTATTCTATTTGACTTTGCAACTATATATATAAAAATTCATCATCAAAGACTGATCTATTTGTAAGCAGAATCGCACAATTCTAGTTTCCAAACAACATTAGAAAATGCCTGGCGTAATGTATGGCCATCTTCTCTATTTATTGAAACTGAAAGCGATGACAGTGAATTTTCTGGTTTTAGGATGACTGCAGCAGAGTTTTGAGCAAGAAAATTGGTTCTGTATTCGAAAGAAAAAACAAATGAGGGTACTTTGCAAGATGATATCATCGAATGGATGATGTGTCCAGATGAGCCAAAACTGCCATATCAGATAACATAACATAACATTAGTGGCGCTTCCTTCTTATGAAAAGAAGGAAAAGAGCTTAGGCAATATTGCCCATTGCTCTTCCGCCATTTGTGAACTTGTCCCGTGAAAGGTAAATAATAAATAAACAGATAAGATCCCAAACTGACACCACAGATCCCATCTCTAACACCAAAGATCCCATCATCATCATCAGCAAAAGATCCCATCTCTAAATTCAGGTGTCGGTTGACTTCCCTATTGGATGAACAGCCGATTCAATCCCTCCCAAACCACCAAACGCAAATTCTTGACCAAACAAGGGTGCGACGGCGAGTCAAAAAAATAAAAAAATAAATAATTAAAAAAAATTAATTAAATAAGAAGGGGCGATATCAGATTATCAATGATGAAATTATTGGCTCTGTTTTCAACTTGACACAGCAAGAAATTAAAAAAAAAAAAAAAAAAAAACTTTGGAGCACCCTAAAGTTTTAAAACAAACCTCTATCAGAAAAATGGTTGACACATATTGAAAGAAAATGAAATACAGTCAAAAGTCTTTAATCCGGACGTCCATAATCCGGAATGATCTATAATCCGGACCTCAAAGCTACAAACTTTCTGCGCATGTGTTTTACAAATGCTCATAATACGTTTACGCTTGCGCGTTTAATGTATAGCAGACAGTATAAGCTAAGCTAAAATTATCTAATTATCTATTTCAGTTAATGTTGCAGATTGCGTTGTTCCTTAATCTTCTGGCCCACCAGCGGCCGAGCGGTAATGTCGCTGAACACTGGTAGTTCGGTCCGAGGTTCGAATCCCGTGAACGGGCTGGCTGCATGGGTGTTTTCGTGGTTTTCCCCATGTGTAACGTGTATACGAGCCAGTTTCCCTTAGAAAGTCCTCCACGAAAGGCAGATAGCCCTAGTGTGCTTTGCCATAATTAAATACACCAACACCACCTTAATCTTCTAATTGGATCCGGCTTATTATATTTTGCGGACTGTTAGAGCAATTTTATAAAAAAGTAAGCTTGAACTTTCGATTATGTCAAAAAGAATTTCCAATTCTGAAGCTGCCAAAGGATCTACAAAGCGAAAGCATGTTTCGATGTCCATCAAACAAAAAGTGGAATTGCTGCAAAAAATGAATAAAGGCATATCCTTTGTTTCTCTAACCATTCCGAAATCTGTTTATCAGTTTCATGCTGATCTGCGGGGGGGAAAGGTCGCGGCGCGCAATGAACTGGAAGTTGATCTTTGAGCACTATCAGAGCAGATGTTTTTATTTTATTCGGCTTATAATTCCTTACTAAATGTAGTATTTTATCTCTGATATGATTTAATTCAAATTCCTTGTCATTATAAATATCACGAATGCACATCAAATAGTTTTCTGGTTGCAATGTTCTAATTTTGACTATGCGTAATGTATACTTTTACACATATGCGCGTTGAAAGAAATGTTTAATAAAGTACACAAATAAATATTAAGCTTTTTTTTTTTTGTAAACCTTAAGATCATAATTGCTCTTTATTTCATAAATTACGGTTTCATATTTTTAATTTTATAATTTCTGCATGCCATCTTACCAGATTTAAATTGATGATCTATAATCCGGAAAAACCGATAATCCACAATCGCCGAAGTCCTGACGAGTCCGGATTAGACTTTTGACTGTACTTTATGCTTTATTAATGTCTCTTATTTTAATATGTCTTTATTGTATATTTTCTTATCCTTATTTATTTTGTACTTTTAGTCCAAATATTACAAGTTACCTTTTGTGTCCTGAAATCTGCAAAATTTTAGAATCCGCACAACCGCTAAAGACTATTCTATTATTCACATGCATTGTAGACTTCTGGTCTTCTATTGTAGCACAGTTCAATTGCAAATAATTTTTATTAATTATCAAGTTTTAATACATTCATTGCTTTTTGCTTTATAAAATATGTTCAAAAATCCAAAGTGAAATAAAATTAATAGCATACCTTCTATTTTTCCTGATGATATTTACAGTATGAAATGAATCACTGCTGATAACACGAGTCGATGACATAAGTATTTCACCTCCACCACTATTAATAATTGCTATAATTCGACCATCTTTTAGTGCTATTGAATAATATGTCTGAAAAAAGAATTGACATGGATAATTTGAAACCTAGATTTATTTATATATAATAGTATTTTAAGATAAAATACATTATAATATAACAAAACTTAAATTTTACAAAAATATTTCAAAGTCATTTTTTAAATATAAGTGTAACTTTCAAATGTAAAATATTAAACACATTTGTTTTAAACTTTGTTTTAAATTTTGAAATATATGAATTTTAAGACTTGAAAATTAGAATCAGCTACATGATATACATTATGTGAGGCAAGTTATTTGCAAATCTAAATCAAAGTTTATAAATTCATTGTAAAATAGAGACAAATACTTCTATTGTAAAACTTACTTGATTACTATCTATAAAGTTCAAACATTACATGGTATGTTACTAATGCACATTAAACTACAAAATGCATAATATCTTTATATGCAAAATTTGTTACGATTTCTCAGAAGAAATTAGCTAAATTATATTGTTTTTCCATGCCTATTACTGATGCAATTCTAAACAACTGAGAATTAAATTAAGAGGACAGCTACAAAATAAAACTTGCTAATTTTGCTATTATTGCCACTATGGATGATTAATGTACACCAGTTTGGTTAGCAGAATATTTTATCAATTCATTTTTTTAATCTTTTTTTAATCTATAGAAAATAATTAGAAACAATTCAGAAATTTTGTTGTTGGAAGTCCATGTCTAGGATCAATATTTTATGAAATAAATTGTACAGTCACTTTTTTTTAAATGTCTTATTATATTCAAGTAAAATTTTCATAATTTAAGATTAAAATAATTGTGAATAAGAAACAAAAGTGATACTTTTTATTATCTCACACCACTTGTTTCCATTAAATTCCTTGTTTTATTGGGCAGTTTTTTATGAATGAAAATATATTTTTGATATTAAAATTTAAACAAATAAAGCATATAAACTTTTTTATTCAAGCACTGTGCAATGTTTATATTTGTGTGTGTATATATATATACATATATATATATATATACACATATAAATGTATGTATACACATATATATATATATGTTACCGTGAAAGACCGAAATTGGAGAATGTCGACTTTCACCGGAGAATATCAACATTCACGAAATACGTCGGTGAAAGACCGAATATTTCACTACATTCTTGTATATTTGGACCCTCACCGGAGTATGTCGACAATCACAGATATGCTCTGGTGAAAGTCGAAAAGAGAGGTCATAAAATGCCATAATACTTTAAGTTGTTGCAATAAATAAGATTTGAATCACATAATTTAGTAAGTTTTTTATTACTGTTATTTTATTTTCTCATTTAGAACATACTGCATAATTAAGTAAGTTTTTAACTTCTATTATTTTCCGTTCTCATTTTGAATGTATTGTGTGTTTTAGGTTCTCATGTTCTTATTTCAAGTCTCAAGTGCATTTATTCGCGACTGAATTACGGAGAAGAAAATATAATATTGTTATATGTTCAACATTCACCATTAGTACATGGTGAATGTCGACATTGACCGGTGTTAGTCAGAAATAAGAGTATTTGGAAAATATTTCGGACATACACCAAGAGACTATGTGAATGTTGACATTCACCAGTGAAAGTCAACATTCTCCAGATTTTGGTGTTTCACCGTAACATATATACATACACTATATATATATAAAGAGAGAGAATATTATCAAAATACAATAGCACATAAAACCAATGATGATTTAATTTACATATACATTTAAATCAGTAACAAAAAAAGTGTAATTAATCCTTCTAAACTCATCCATATTTTTATTACTGTGAGGGTCTTTTATGTTTTTCCCTGGAGAAATTTTGTAAATATTTTTTGCTTTTTTAAGAATTATGATTATTACTCAGTCAAAACATGTCTTGGTGTATAAATTTTTTTTTCAACAATTTGAATCTTACTTTAATAATATTAAAAATAATAATTACCTGCAATAATTCTTGATCAGCATTTTCTTGTCCAACATATGTGGATAACATCAAAAGAGCGTTTTGTTGTCTTGTCATAAAGGAGAAACTAATGCTAGAATCTACAAGAAGAGTCTGTCCATTCAACTCTAAGTGACCAGCTCCTTTGAAAGTGGCAACTTTCATTGGCTGGAATAAGTATATGTTAACTTAAAAATAGTGCATTTTATAAAAACAAATACTATGAAAAATTGAAATAAAGTATTGGCGTTCTTTATAGCTTTAAAAAAGCTTTATAATTTACACTGCACATTATTTATATACTTTAAGTGTTTAATAAATCCATTTTATGAAATATGATTAGCTTAATTTGGAAAAATGGTTGTGGGCAAAGGCCGGACAGATGCCGGACACTTGGACAGGAACAGCAGAAGCAACTGGAGAAAGATGGTGTGTTGGCGAGTCCTTTGACAGGAAGGAGTGAGCTAATTAAAAATCGGTTCACAATGTTTATCTACCCTTACTCTTCAAGCCAGATATTTTCATACTATATAGCCAGATATTTTTGACAAAATGGTATCATTTTTTGAAGATTATGAGATACCAGAATTGGGTGCATCCCGGTACACCTAACCAAACAAGTTGGTCTTATGGTCATAACAGGCCTTGCCCAATAAACATAATTTCATCGTATTTTTCTCTCTTTTTCCAGCATGCCTTCATGGTAAAATGATAGCACACTTGGCGTGTATTTGAGAGGCCCATGTTCGAGTCCCAACGAGGGCACTGCACATGTTTCATATCTCCTCCTTCAAAATAACCTAATGATTCTACAAGGTACTGCTTGAAAAGTATCAAAAAGGATTGCAAAAGATTCTGATTAAAAATAAAAAACTAAAATTCAAGTAAAGACTATCAAAATTTGACTTTTTGGTAAAGAAAATGAGTGCCTGATTTCCTGACGCTTATTATTCTATTAAATTTTGAGAAATCGTTTCTACTCTAACATGTAAACTCATTTTTTATTCCAGAGAATACATTATCGATATAGCTGAGGTAGAACAATATACACTAAACATAGATGCACAATATGTCTTAAAGAATGGCTATAGATATTGAACTCATGTCATGCTATGTTCATGTAGTTTTTTTAGATGAGAAATACCAACGGAATAAGACAACAGCACAGCTCAATTTTTCCTATTATGGAATACTAAAAGGGGATATTTAACAAGCATTTTTTAAATGCAAAAGTATGTTTTTGAAATTTTTACTTTATAGCAACTGTTCTTATAAACTTAAAATGATGCTGTTGTATAGTCATAATAATAGCAGCATATTCGGTAATCAATCAGCTGTGTAAAATGAAAAACGGAACCGCTAAATGCTGAAGTGTTAGATAATATGATTATTATTATACTTGGAATTATAATACTTATACAACATTATAATCCTTGGAACTGAATTAAAAATTGCCAGCACCATGAATATTCTAAAATGGAGTTAACAGTTTTCCATAATTGAGCTAACAAAGCTGAACAGCACTTGCAATAATATAAAGTTCAAAGCTACAGCCTGTTTCTTTAAAATAGGTATCTCAAGGCTATTTCCATCTTCCCCCATTAGCAATCACAGCACAGTATTTATTTTCTTCATCTCACAAGAAATGGAAATAGAGTGGAGGAAAAAAAATCAGAATAGAAAAAATTAGACAACTCAAACTATCTGCAGCACCTGTCATTCCCACGGTTATAAGACAAATTGTGTAGTGAACGGCCTTGAAATTCCTATTTTAAAGTAATGGATTATAATACATTTTTCAAACACGGTAATCACTCTATCATCTGAATTACATTTACCTAGACATCTGTTGTAATGAATATTATTTAAATGAAAATGTGTTAATTATGAAGTCTGATAAAGATGGAATCAAATGCGAACATTTCTCTTCTTTCTTGAATTTGATTGACATACATATCATACTTGACTACATATGATCTCTAAGACAGGTATATGGACAACTTGCAATCATGATAGACCTTGCATTCTAAAGAACCCCCAACCATTTTTAAAAAATAGTAAATATAACTTGTGTTTCAGGATCAGATGTCCCCTAAATTTCACTTGACTCGCCCCCCTCTCTTACTTTAATGAATCCATCTCTGTGCAACTTTTTATTAAAAGTAATGTTTTAGACTGAGAAATAAAATGTTGCTCCCTCTGTTGTTTTCTTCCAAACATTATCAAGCATGCTAAAACTGTAAGAAATGTTCCTGCAGGTAAATCTAAAACTGAACTCTGAAATTTCATCTAACAGTGAAAGTGACTAGAAAGAATGGACCAATTAAGCAATTTTGAATTACGGAGAAACTGGAAATTAGCAAATATCTAATAGTTTTAATCTGATAATATGCATCACTTCAGATATTAATCATTTATTGATAATTTAGTACTTTTATACAGCAAAAACACAGCCTGGTATAATTGGATAACTAGGAATCTTTTCAAACTGCTTTGCTTTTAGTGTAATTTGCCAACTTTCATAGTTTCCACACTTGGCAGATATATTTCCTGATATTTAATTATGCACCTTGTAAATTGTAAATATAAGCCACAAAACTTTGAAATCATGCCCCAAGAACTAAGATTTATTATTCTACTAGAAATCTTTTATTCCATGAATTTACAATTCTTTACAAACTTCTCAATTTTCTCTGAAATTTTTTGCCAACATACTCATATCTATCACAACCAGTTTATTAGAAATTTAATTTATTTAGAAATGTGTTTTTGTATATCCATAAAACTAGGAGATTGGCTGATAAAAATTTATAACAGTTTAGACTATGCATATGTAAAATATAAAAATATGAAATAAAATTATTAAAAAAATTACTAATTTAATTGACAATAGTCCTGAAAATCCCTAATTTTAATTTAAATACTACCTCCTTCAAAGACGCCACTGATGTCATTCTTTTCCTGCAGTGATCTGAATTGCTGTAAACTCTTGTCCAGTCACTATTCAAGATTTAAAATTGCATTCTGAGCTTATATTTTAGGCCCTTCTACTTAATACACATAACTTTTTTAGTGTTCTGTCACCAAGCTATCATCTGTTTGCTGCACTTCATTTTCCCTCTATGGTTCTTAATTGCAATCTGCATCACAGAAATGCACAAAATACAATACAATATAATAATAAAGTAAACTTTGATGAAAAATAGGGCAAATCCTCTATAAGTGAATAAGTGTAACTATTTGCTAATAGCTGTGGGATGCTTAAATATAACTGAGATAAAAACCTCCATTCTTTTTACAAGGTAATTGTCTTTTCGCATTGCATAAAAATATCAAAATTTCTATTTATTATTTATGGCCATAAAGTTATTCATAACAAATACTTGAAAAATTAAATGTAAAAAAATTAAAATTCAAGTTAAGATGAACAACTTGTATAAAGTTATGTCTCACAAATTTAGCAAACAGAAGTTGTACATCACCTTACAATAATAATAGCAAAATAATAATTGAATGTGTGAGTGTAATAATTATATTGCTCTAGAGTAGGAAAATTTGTTTGTTTTAAAATCAGCAAATAAACATTAATTTTAACAGAATTTCTTCAATACGCAACAGAAATATTTTGATTTTATATTGATGACAACACTTAGTTTTTATGAAAGACTTTCAGGATTCAAACAAAGCATTCTGAGCTTCTTTATAGGCTCTGCTGCTTAATACAGATAACTCACCTGTTTGCCGCTCTTTAATTTTCATTTATTGTTCTGAAATGTAATCTGTGTATATAAAATTGTGGGGTGCAGATAGGACCCATTGTGCTATTGCTAATCAAGAAGCTATATCTTAATAGATTAGTCAACAAGTAATGAAGATGTGTTGTGATAATCTAAGTTTTTTTTTTTTTTTTTTTTTAAATTCAATTCAGTCCGCTCCAGTTTCAAGTTGTCTTCTATGATCCATCTTGTTTGTATGTGAGCTACCTGCCACCATTCCCACCATGACTGCTTAATTGGTTTCGTCTTCTCTCCTAAAATTATTACACACACACATATCTCACATAGAAAATACCAGGTTTTAATGAAAGTTTCTGGCTACCGCAAATATCATATGAGCAAACAGTTCATGTTGCCGTGTTTAATCACATTTTGTTAAACAATTTTTGGAATTTGAAAGAATCAGACTTATTTTAGAATACTCTGCTGTGGGAAAAAAAAAAAACCATTATTATTAAATACAAAGTGTCTGAAATGGAACTATTATGCTACCAGATTAGAACCACCATTTACTTCCAGTTCTGTTGCAAAAAGTCAGCTACAGAATATCACCAAATCATGTGTACAGCTTTAGGTACTAATGTTGTATCATATGACACTGTGAAGATTTGGTACCGAAAGTTTAAAAACAAGGTCATTCAAGAAGCAGAGCACTCTGGACAGCCTACTGATGCTTAAGAGGCCCACCTGCAGGAACTCGTGGAAGAAGACCAGTATGCAACAACTCGAGAGCTTGCTAAGGAGTTAGATGTTAGTACCATGTCCGTTAGTCACTATGCATCGCATAAACTTGATGTAGAAGTTCATTCACTGGGTGCTGCATGAGCTGACTCAAGCATAAGGACAGATGTGTTCGGCCTGCACTAATCTGTTTGAATATAAAAACAAGGAAAAAATTCTGGACCGGATCCTCAATTGTGATGAAAATTGGATTTACTTCAACAACACAGGCCAAAAAGGATATTGGTCTGCACCCGGAGAGTCCTTTGGCAGCTTCACAAAGTGCAATTTGACTAACAAAGGGATCATGCTTTGTATCTAGTGGGATTGCTGTGGTATTATCCTCAAAGAGTATCTTGAAAAAGGTAAAATCTGTGACAGTAAGGGGTACAGCAAGATGCTACTCCGTGTTGACACTGCTGTCATGGAAAAACATTGAAATGAGTTCCAGCACAAAAAGGTAATGTTCCATCAAGATAATCCAAGACCACCATGTGTTTGAATTCACCTGCTGGACTCTGTATGGACTCAAAAGGGATCTTTTGGCACACCCACCTTATAGCCCCGACATTGCTCCTTCGGACTTCTACCATTTTTCACACTTGCAGCTACATCTTCCATTCTTCACAGGACGTCAGAAGTGAGGTTGATATGGGTTTCGACTCAGGACCACCAAGTTTCTAGGCTGAAGGCTTTGAAAACCGTTTTGCGTTTCCCCCCCTAACTGTATTAAGAATGCTTATTGGCAAAAAAAAAAAAAAACTTTTATTATGACTAGACAAGTAAATCAAAATTAGATCTTGAAAGGTGAGCAATCTTTTCAGGGAATACCCATATCAAAATTCAAGCAAAACATAAACATTTCAGAAGTAAAACAAAAACAATTCAGTAAAATTAACAAAAAATTAAAAATTAATAAAACTGATATAAAATATAAAACATTGAAAGTTCCTTGGTGTTTTTCAAGAAGCAGCTGAAGATTTCTCAACAGGGCCATGTTTCTGAAATTATATCTAAATGATTGTTAATAATGAAAACTACACACATACCACACTTAATCAAAAATGAAAACTCCTGAAATGTAAGATCTTCCTTGAAATTCCTCAGCCAGATATGGCTTTTTTCATTGGCAGTAGTTGTGAAGTTTATATATACAATAATTACTAATTGTTTTATTTAGTATTTTAATGGTGTAATTATTATGTACAACATGATAATTTGACTCATTCTTATCAATCTGTAATTTCAGTTATCAAAATACCTTACTAAATTCTAAAAGAAAAACATTTGAAAAAAGGGGGATCTTATTTTTGAATTTTTAAATAAATACATGCATGCTTGCATGAATAGAAGCACATGCACGTATACTTGAATCGTATATATATCCTGAATAAGAAATACAAATGTATGTATGCTGCATATATATTTTGGTAACAATAAATAAACAAATCTAATTGTCAAAAAAAAGAGCTCTTAAATAAATTTCGGATACTTTAACATCTATTTTAAAATTAATGCATACATCTTAAATCTAAAATCTCACCCTATTCGAACAACCAACATTCATGCCATAGAAACTACTTCGATATAAATCAATGGGAGTAGAGTCAATTTGCAGGTCTTTCATGCAGCCAAAAAAATTCGTAAATTTTATGTCAGGCCATCTATAAAAATTAATACATTCCTTCAGTCTAAGCAAAATAACAAACAATATATGAGTTAATGTAAGATACTAACATTTATTTAATCATTACAAATGCCCAGAAGATTGGTTATGACACCATTAAATCTCTAGCCTTTCAATATTTTTTAACTTTACTTAAACATTCTAACATAAAATGAGTTAACATTCTATAACTAATGTATTTAAAAGGCTCAAGCAGCGTCTAAAAGATCTAGGAGGGATAAAGTTTTCATGAATTAAACAATATAAATAATAAATCTTTAAAAAGTGCATATAATGAAGTTCTTAGTGGATAAAAACAGTTTCATTCGGGCATAAAGGCTAAATTTATAGAACTCATTATTCAGTAAAATGCAGTTTATTTATACTTTAAATACTCTAAATCAAACTAAAAATATTTCCATTTAATTCTGATGTAAAATGAGCATGAAAAATCTTTATATTGTCAATAATTAGAAAATAAAATTAACAACATGTTCATGAAAATTAGATTAGAATTAATGAAAAGGAATAAAACTGTGCTGAGTTAAGTTATTCAAATTGTACCCTATAATATATGACAATATTTATCTGGGATTTTTTACCATGACAGCAAATTTTGCTCTTGTTAAAGTATTTTTATTATTCCCTATGTGCAGTACTTCCCCCCCAAAAAAAATCTAAATAAAGATTGCAAGTGTAATAATTATATAGTACTTCAGAAATGATATTATCAACCAGAAACAAAAGTCTGCATTATTTATTACTTTCTCTTACATGCATTTATTTTTTTTTTCATTGCTAAAAGAGATATGAGGTACATTTAAAATGATTATGCTGAATTAGTTTCTTAAAATTTTAAATTTATCTTCTAATGCATTTTTCTCAAAATAATGATTCTGCAGGTTTGTGGTTTTAACTGCAGTGCCAACATATGTAGTCTGTCTGATAAATACACAAAATGAGCTAGTAGGGTGACCTTGAGTTGCAGTTAGGTCGTGCTCATTTGCTGCTGTGCTGGCAGTGGATCTACTGGAGCAGTTGCCAAACAATTGAGGCAAGCGTACAGCTTTTATTATTTTTTCTTGTGAATGATGGATATTAATGAACAGATGGAACAATGAATCAACATCAAAATTTATTAAATTTGGGAAACGTTCTCATTCATGAAAGGAAGGAAATGACCTACTGAAGAAAACAGTCCTTTTCAAGTAAATCAAGTGTTTCAGCAAGGGCTGTGAAGACTTCAAGGATGAGGATAGGCCAGGATGACTGTCGACCTTCTGTATTGAAGATTACATTGAACATATGTGGTCTTTTGTGCTTTCTGATCATCGATTAACTGCCCAGATGATTGCTAATGAAATGAATTTAAGAAAATCATCAGTGCACACAATTTTAAGAGAACATTTGTAGTTGAGAAAATTGTGTGCAAAAATTATCCCAAAGTTGCTAAAATCTGACCAAAAAGCTGAGAAGGACTGAATACCACACGATTGGAAAAACTCCATTCAATCTTTCAGTTTCCTTGAAAGGATCATCACTGGTGACAAAGCAGTATAATTTTTCTGGATGGTTGAGTAAAAGTATATATGAGGTTGCACTGGAGTTTGGAGTTAATTCTCAGACAGTTTTGCTACTGCTCTTCTTGCTTGGTGATTGCTACTTTAATTTTGCTTTGTGACTGATTCTAGTGATTCACAATGTTCCTTGAGCTTAAGGAGGATTTAGCTTTACCTCTGTTTTCTCCTTTGGGCTGTTTCACAGCTGTTTGCCTTGCTTGTAAGAGCTGTTACCATCCTAATAATGTTTTAAGTTTTCCCTATTCATTTGGTTCCCTTATTTAATGAGATCTCTATAAATCCATAACATGCAACCATATAATTCCAGTGCAATATAAAATGTAATAATCTATTCATGTATAATTTTAGTATTTTAGTACAAAGTGATATAATTTAGATTCCAAACATTTAAATTATGGTTATTCATTTGCAAATAATTAAAAAAAACCTTGCCTCAAGAATGTAAAGTATAAAATATAAAAATAATATATTCTTATCATTTTATGTTTTTCACAACTTAAATAATAATATATGTATATCAGTGGGAGTATGATATTTGTGATTCTGGAATAAATTAGCAATACAAATATTAAAATTTTATTCATTTCCACTCATTAATTAACAATCAATACTTTAAACCACAATATTTCAAATAGCAATAGAAATATATAAAATTTTAGTCATTTTCACACATTAATTAACAATCAGTACTTTAAACCATAATATTTCAAATTATAAATAAATTAATATAAATTATATTAACATAATATTTCAAATTATCAAATTATTATAGTCCTATATATTAAAGGAAAAACACAGAGATGCAAGTTAACTTTATAATATAGACATGTTTTTAATATACTGATGTATATGTTATTTCATATATTTTAAAATGAAACCCATGGTTACTAAAGAAACTAATTCTGTTACAAATGTTTTTTTTTTTTTTTTTTTTTTTTTTTTTTTTTTTTTTTTTTTTTATTTTTTTTTTTATAACAGGATTTATTTCAAAAGTAAAAAAGTTTTGGCTAAAATACCTACCTTTCTTCAGTGAAATTTGGAGGAACACCACCCTAGTAGAGAACACTGTCTTTCAAATCGAGTGCTGAAGACAATCCCTTTGGAGCATTTTCTTCTAAAAATTCGTTTTCTACCATGATTTGAGCTGAAATAATAAGCTATATCAGCAACGTTTTGATGCAATGCAGAAATTTTAGTCATTTCGAGTTTTTTCATAATTATTTTTTTTCATTTAGTTATATGCAGAATTATTTAAATTCATTCATAAAATAATAACAACTTTTTTAAATTTTAATAAAATAAAATAAAAATAAAAATTACTGTCAGTTCTTCTCCTGAAATGGATTTCAAGTCTGCAGTTAAATTAAAATCATACCAAAGATGAATATTGGTAATCCTGTTCTAGGGTTTTTCAAAAACTGAAGTTCCTTCAGTGTGCAATTTAACTAAGCAAAATTTGACATGCCCACTGATTCAGAGTCCAGACTAAGATGCTTGACACTTGTCTCTGAATTTTTTTAAAAAAAAGTCTTCTTTCTTTCTTTTTTATATGTTATAATAACTTTTAAAAAGAATATTATAAAAAATATATTTGTTGAAGTATTTATTAATTAATTCTCATTTTTATATAATTTATTAGTATTTAGCATTTTCACATAATTTTAATGGAAGTATAAATAATTCTTTTTATGTATAATTTATTATCATTATCAGTTGTTGTGAATGCAAGATTTACAAACTTCTTTCATGATATATTCATAGCTAAGTAAAACTTAGTTTCAAAAGTGATCATTCATAGCTTGCAGTTTAATTAACTGAGAATTATAATGGTTTTAACATAGTTGTTAAGTAATAAAAAGATAAACTACAAAACAAAATTGACTAAAGGATATTAAAAAGATTTAATATTTTTCAATTTACCTTTAAATACCTGGATAAATACTTATTTTATCACAGACATCAGGGATTTGAAAAACAAATTCCGCAAATAGTTATTTTCAACCATAGTTAACAACAATATCTTTATATTTTATTTAATTTCTGTGATAATAAAGTATGTATTTCATGCTTAATGACTTTTTATCTGATAATATTTTTTAGAATAAAAACATGATAATTGCAATACCTTCAAACTTTTCTCTAGCTGCCTCAACACGAATCCATTGACCAGTGTTATATTTCTTCTTTGTTTCTAAACGAATATGAATTTTACCATTCATTTTGAGTTGATATAAAACTTTACCTTTTCTTAATTCCAGTGATATGAAATGCCCCTAAAAGATCAAACAAATGAAAATCACACATGAAAACACAAAATTTCAGAAAATTATACTTTTTTCCAAATTCCCGAAATAAAGCATAACTTTTATTCAGTATTTTTTCATTTAATTTATTTTTCTCCACTCATTTATCATACATAATTTACTTAACATATTAGTTTGCATATCCAAAATAAAATGTTTAATCTCAGATTTCTCTTATGTATTGCATGTTACATATCTTCATAATAAAAAGCTTAAAAAGTTATGTACAATTAAAATATAATTAACACTTCATTGGGAGACAGTGTATGTATATAAATGATTGTAGCATGACATATGTATAACTATCCACTGATTTGTTTCTTTATTGTCATTTTTACATTACAAGTAAATTTACATTTACTTTGGCCTGCTATTGCTGTATGATAATGGTATTTTCTTCAACATTTACACATTTGCATTTTCTGTGTAATTAATTGCAATTTGATACCTATCTTACTTTTATTACATGTTTACGCAGTATTATTACCATTTTTCATGCATTTATGCACTTTTATTAATTATCAACTGGTTCTGGGTGAGAGAAACTAGTTAAATACTTCCATTTGATTTATAACAAAACTTAATTATTTGTTATGTACTTATTAACTCGTACATTGATCTTACTGTAGTCTTTTGTGCCTTTTTATGGGCAGTTATGATTTAAAATTTGTATTTCAAGTTTATTTTTTTATTTTCTTTTTTCTATATGTATATATTATAAAATTATATATGAGGCATATTCGAAAACTAAGTACCGTTTTGAAAAAAAAAAAAGAAAAAAAGATAGTAAAACAATTTTTTTGAATCTAATTTTATTTTTACATGAAAATACATGTCTTAAACTATTTTTCAACATAGTTTCCGCCAATGATCAAACACTTGTCATAGCGGATGACCAGTTTTTGTATACCATCATCAAAGAAACTTCCCACCAGTTTCATAACCACGACTCCACAGCATTTTTCGTGTCATCGTCAGATCCAAAGCGCTTGCCACCAAGCTCGCGCTTCATGTGCAGCAACAAGTGATAGTTGGACAGCGCCAAGTCCGGGCTGTACGGCGGGTGATCGAACTGCTCCCAATGAAACTCTCGAATTAACGATTGAGTGACACCAGCAGTATGGGGCCGAGCATTGTCATGGAGCAACACAATTCTTTTACTGAGCATTCCTCTTCGTTTGTTTTGAATGGCACACCTTAGTTTTGTTAAAGTCTCACAATATCGTGCCGCATTAATGGTTTCACCTCTGGGAAGAAATTCAGAAAGCAAAACATCTTTCCTATCCCAGAAGACAGTGCACATGGTTTTTTGTAATGACATTGTCACTTTGAACTTTTGTTTTTTCAGAGAATGAGTGTGTCTCCACTCCATCGAGTGTTGTTTCGATTCTGGTGTGAAATGACACACCCAAGTTTCATCACTTGTCACAATTTGGTTTAAAAAGTTTTCTCCCTCATCACTGTACCGTGTGAGAAATGTCAGGGCACTACCAAGTCACTTTGTTTTGTGAACATCAGTGAGCATTTTTGGAACCCATCGGGAACACAGTTTGCGATAATTCAAGCGGTCAGACACAATTTTGAACAAAACAGTACGTGAAATTTGTGGAAATGCCTCTGAAAGAGTTGTCATTGTGAAGCATCTGTTCTCATGAATTGCTTCATCAACTTTCATTACCAAATCATCAGTGACAACAGAAAGCCGACAAATGCGAGCCTTGGCGTGGACATTTGTTCTACCTGCATTAAACATTCTTACCCACTTTCTCACCATTCCATCACTTATCGCGTATTCACTGTAAACTTCTGTCACTTGACGATAAATTTCGGCCGGTTTAACATTCCTCGCGTTCAAAAATTTAATCACGGCACGAATCTCACAGTCAGTGGGAGAACTAATTGTCTTAAACATTTTGAATGTGCACAGCAAACTGAAAACACAACATACAGCAACCAAAATGGCGACAATTGTCAGTGAACAAGAGAGACTAGTGCACATGCATGGGATGCCTACCACAGCGCTGCGACGATGCTAGAATGCTTAGTTTCCGAATACGCTACGTAAAATGTGTGAGATGATGTGTAAAAAATATTTCATGAATTAATTATTAAAATGCTTAATAATTCATTTGATTTAAAATGTTTAACAATAAAATGAATCTCCTAAAAATTCTAATGGAAGGCACATAGTTTAAATTAATAGTAATGTATAAAATAATACACTTTAGATGCAAACACTTACAACTACAATTTAATGACTGTAATTTGTTAAATGAATACACAGCATTTTTAAATAATAGCTTTGAAATTCTTTTAAATAATTAATATAACAAACAAAAAGAATGCAAAAATAAATTAGTAATTTGCTATAGTAAAAGTTAATAATTTATTACTCTCAAAATTAATTTCATTGTTGTCTAAATAAACACTTTATTTATTCCATTTGACCAAAACTACAATTAAGTTGTTATGTATTCATTTCCCTCACTAGATGGCACCAGGGATTCCACTAGGGACAGAAAATTTAAACCACCCTTTTTTTTGGGGGGGGAGGATATAATAAGACAGATTTTCTGTTTCGGGTTCATGCCAGTATGGGTGTGCAGTTGATTTTACAGCCATGAGTGGGAAAGAGATAAAGGCATATATAGTGGTTAATTATTTTTTTTTTTCCTTTTCAGTGTTTAATGTGAATCAGAATGTAGTCTCAAAAAATGAATTGCGTTTTCTCTGGAAAAGATCCTTTTTTTCAGCTAAGACATCACATTTACAGTCCCTACACTAGAAAAGGAAGTTTTTCCAAACCAGATTGATAGCAGAACCTGCTTATGCCAGTGGATGCTGACAACTTCAGTCAAAAACAGTTGATTAATTACACAAAAAAAAATATCTATCTTACAGATTAAAAAATATTTTACAATGGTAGCTAGAACCAAAGTCTCACACTCCAATTAAATATAAAACAAAAATAACATAAATAGTTTTGACACACATAAAAAGATATTATAAATTACTTTTTGGTAATTGCACGACAAGAATAATAAACCATCTTCATTTAAGGTCTTGAAACTTAAAATAGCATATAAATCACTTTTCTTGTAATATGGTATCTGTGGTACTATAGCATAGCTGTGTCCACCTTGAAATTCATATGCACTAATATCAATATCCTCAGTTGCTCTAAAAAGAAAATTTAAACAACAGATTTAAAAAAGCAGTACTTAAAATTCCCAACAGAAAATAATTACTTACATGCAAATGTTATAAAGTATGCCTAAATTATAAAATAAAGGAAATTCAGATAGTATAAGCTCTAATAATACTCAATGTGTATATTTTGCAGAATATGACAAAGTTAAAAATAAACAGACTAGACAATTTTTTTCCTTTTTTGAAATTAAAGCCATGTGAATGATTTATGTTATATCTGGGTTCATACATGATCTTCATAATGATATAAACTTGAATCCTCTATAATATCTCCACAAAAAGATGAAACTGTACAAAATATTTGAAAAGGAACAAAAATTAAAGGAAAATATATATACAGTAGAATTCCAGAAATCCGCAAAGCTTGGGACCAGAGCTTGTGCGGATTTTAGGATTTTGCGGATTTCAGGACAGAAAAGATAAAGCATAATATTCGGACTAAAAGTGCAAAATGAATAAGGCGTATTAGATACATTTAATTAAATTATATATAATTATTGCAATAATTTTTATATGCATTAAATTATTATTACATATATAAATTGATTATATTATTCATTGTATTATATGTACACAGCATCGAGGTTTGCCGATTTCGCCTCATACAAAGATTTCCGGTTTCAGATTCTGGTGTTAGAATCACTGTTGCTGTAAAATTTCAACAACTTTCCTTTATTTTTCTGTATATCATACACAATCATGTAGCAATTCCATACTATTCTGCTATAAATCTAGGAGTAGCACCTGCTTCCATCTTTTGCAGAATTTGTGCTTTTTGTGTTACCGTCAATGCAACGTGTTTACGTTTTACAACGTTGCAAGTAGTAAAATCATGAGTGCGTTTCTTATCTGTCATTGTTTTAAAAAGGGCTGAAATTTAAAATATTCTTAATTTATCCACAAAATATCCCGATAAAAAAAAATCTGATGTGTACACCACATGACTTCCTTGTAGGGAATATTAAATTATACGCATTTTTTCTTGCATTTCATTTAAATTTATTGGATTGAATTAAATCTACTTCACCGACAGTGCATAAACCACAATAGAATAAATGCATTCTTTAAAATTCACTCTAGTATTTGTTTACCATATCACTCTGGCGCTAGATTCACTTAACAGTATTATATTTCATTCATATTATAACTCATAATGCACAAAATTTATATCATTTAAAGAATAATTATCTAATCATTGCCACATGTTCTATTCAAATACTATAATAAAGATAGAATGATGTTATAAAAGAAAATTAAGCAAATAAAAAAAAAAGAAAACAGTTTTTTCACAGACGATTGAGTATTTCTCATTCAATTAATTCAGTTTCTCACTTCGCGAGAAGGCAAAAATACATAAAAACTCAAAATATCTATATTAAAAATTACGAAGTAAATAAATCTTAAACACTTATTTTCCTCGAAAAAAATTCCAGAAAGGATTAAGCATGATTTAATTAGCAATAATAAATGAAGGCGTTATCTTTGTTGTTGCGAAGCTAAGTTTCTCTAGATTGGCAACAAATCCACTAGTCTGCTGTTTCAAATGTAAACAATGGCCGCCATAAAAAAGGGCACTTAAACAACTTTAAAATTGTTGATAGTTCTAAAAATATTGCATACAGATTTACTAAAGGCATAAAAACCTTAACCGGAAGATAAAAACAACATAATTCAATCATTTTTAAAGCAAAAAATGTACAATTTACAAACATATAAGAGTAAAGAAACTGAGATCACTGAGCCGGGTAACAAAATGGATATATGTATAAATATATTTATATACGTTTGGTGTGGCCGATTGCAACCAAAATACGAGGTGCACATCTACATGCTATAGCAGTCCTATATAGAAAATTTCAACATTCTGAGGCTACTCGTTTTTGAGTTATGCGAGATACGTACGTGCATACATACGTTCGTACAGACGCCACGAAAAATTCTCTTCAGAATTAATTTTAAAGCAGTTTTATAATTTTTTTAGAGGAAACAAGTCTTTTATTCTGTCCCTACGTACAGATATCAGGCAAAAACATCGTTAAATTGCATTTGATAGCGGTCAAAATAGATATTTTCGTTCAAATATGCTGCCTGAAACTCTTCACGATTACAATACTTCCTTTTTACTTCGTACAAAGAAGTAAAAAGGCAGCACTAAACAATCTCGTGAAATGAAATAATAAAGCTCAGATAACCACCAACGGAAGGGGGGTGAATTGTGAACTTGAACTAAGAGTTGAGTGAATCGTCTGCTTTTTTACCTCGATGCTGATTAGAGGGAAAAAAGCTTATCTTATTTAATTTATCTTATTTTTTTAAACTTTTTTATGTCAGTAATTTGGTATTTCAGTTTTGACTCATTATTATTCGGTAATTATGACGTCATTATTGGTAAGTATTTTTTTCTTCGATATTTCGTACTCAATATTGTGGTTTCCGGAACCTATAAATTGAATGTTTATATTCTGAGAAGCAACGCGGATTTCAGGTCGATGGATTTTCGGTATTTGACTATATATATAATCCTTGAATGTATGTTGAGTAACTGATTATAAACATGGTTTGAATTAAAAAAATTATACAAATAATGCTGTTTTTCAGACTGTAATTTTGATTATTTGTGTTTTAGGGAAAATATACAAAACTTGATATATTACTTTAATAAGTGTCAAAAAATGCAGTTCTGTATTATCTGAAATTGGCCTTAAGAAGAATGCCTAAATTTCATGACTTAAACAATTTTCACATAATAAAAATTTACTTTGAATAAAAAAAATATTCTGGATCAGGGATAACAAAAAAGTGAACTTTTTTAAGATAAAAAATTTTGAAACTTAACAGCCATGGAAAAGTAGCTTGCTACAGTATTGGTGCTATGTAGTATGATCTCTGGTGGTAGTCATAGTGCCTCACTCTCTGCCTGCTGAATGTTTTTAAAGCTTACGTTGTAAGGTTATTATTTAAATTAACTAGTTATTTATAATTTTAGCCTTTACTATAACTTCTGCTTTCCATTTCCTCACGAGAATGTAAATGAAAATGAAGAACAGAGAATGCTTCTAGCTTGCATGTGCGTGGTATGTTTAGTTTCTGCCAGTTTTGATAGTTGAACAGTAGACTCCCGATATCTGCGCCTGCCGTGCAAAGTTTTTTTTTTTTTTTTTTTTTACAAGCGTAAAGATAAAATAAAAATTTTCAAAAACTGAGCGAAATTGTAAATTGGCTAACATCGTGCTTATTTATGGCAAAATATTCCCAGGCCTTCTCGGAACCTTTCCTTATGATGAGTAAGTGATTTCTTACTCACCCTTGCAGTGCCTGCTCCACCGCCCTCTCTCGTCTTAATCTTACTGACACATCCACTTCCTCCCACTCGCCATTGTTAGTTTAAGCCAGAGAGTGTTCGCGAACCGGTCAGAGTTAATTTCTTATCTTTTATTTGTTCAACGCTTTTTTAGTTACCGATTTAAAATGTCAGGAAAACGAAAGAAGGTTGTGCTGACGATTTGTTCAACGCTTGTGCTTTTTGGTTTTGTGTTTTTCGTTACCGATTTAAAATGTCAGGAAAATGAAAGAAGGTTGTGTTGATGATTGCGCAAAAAGAATTAATTTTCCAAAGTAGCAAACGGCGCTACAAGGCAGCAATGGAATTGGTTACGGAATCGAAGAAACACAGTGCGTGACATTCTAAAGCAAAAAGACAAACTGGGTGAATTTGCATCAATTTTGGACATGCTTCCGCAATGAAAACGCGAAAAAAACTACGAAGGGTTCTACCTTGATGAGCGAGACACGGCCATTGGCAGATTGGTTAGCTAGTTTGAAAAGAGGGTACTTCTGTAAATGGTTCTATCATTGCGGTGAAGGCCAAAAACTTTTTTTTTGAGTTTTGTTAGGGCTGAAAAGGAAATTTTGATACGTCTTCTGGCTCGTTGCTCGTTGTAGCAGCGCATGGAATTTGAGAAATGGACTTAATGGGAGAACTTAGTGGTGGCCAACAAGCAGCCGACGATTTCACAATGAATTTGAAGAATTTGTTTTAAAAGAAGAGCTATTTTTTTTGAAACAATTTACGATGCCGCTGAATCGGGGCTTTTGTGAAATGTCTTCCACTTGCACTTTAGCTTTGAAAGTGAAGTAAGCGCGGGTCATCAAGCAAGAAAGATCACTATCATGTCTTGCAGTAATGCTACAGGTGGACATAAACTAAGACTTATTGTCCAAAAAAAAAAAAAAAAAAAAAAAAAAAAAAAGAAAAAAAAAAAAAAAAAAAAAAAAAAAAAAAAAAAAAAAAAAAAAAAAAAAAAAAAAAAAAAAAAAAAAAAAAAAAAAAAAAAAAAAAAAAAAAAAAAAAAAAAAAAAAAAAAAAAAAAGATCTTTCAAAAAACAAGGATAGAAATTTGCCCGTTGAAAACTTTAACAAAAAAAAAAAAAAAAAAAAAAAAAAAAAAAAAAAAAAAAAAAAAAAAAAAAAAAAAAAAAAAAGATGAACCGAAATTTTTCAAGATGGTTAAAAATCTTTTTTCTTCAAGTGCTAAACATCTTAAATCGAAAACCCTGCCGAAAAGCTTGCTATATTGATCGACAATGCACCTTCTCACCCAGCAACAAGCGTGCTAAAGTCTTCTGATGGACAAATTTTTGCAAAGTTTCTCACCCCCCCAAACGTTACTTCGCTAATCCAACCCATGGACCAAGGAGTCATTGCAACAATGAAGAAAACATACCGAACCAAGCTGCTAATGACTAAAATTGAAGAAGGTTATGATCTGAAAGAGTTTTGGAAACATTACGAAATCTTGGACAGCATCTACGATGTTGCATCTGCATGGGACTCAGTGAAACCGTCAACCCTCATAATATCATGAGAAAAACTCATGCCTAATGGTTGAAGCCAACAACGACAAACCTAACCCATTGAGTGTGAAGAAGAGAATGAAGATTGTAGACACGCCCACGCAACGCTTGGATATGGTGAAACAGTTCCAGGTTGGATAGAATGTCGATGCTGAAACATTAACAAGTGGTTGGAGTGTGACGTCAACAACCTGGCTTCAAACGCTTTGACAGATGATGAAATGTTTGAAGAAAGCAAGGGGAGAGATTGAGAATGAAGAACAGCGAAGTGAAGGCAAGAAGAAGAGCCCACTGTCAGATGCAGAAGACTCACAAAGCGCTTTGCAACAAGTCGACGGACTGCTGATGATTTGAAGAACAAGACGACTCAGAGGTTGGCCGAGAAACTTATGCTACGAAAAATGGCAATCTTGGATAAAGAGAAAATGCTTCCAAAGCAAGAAGCAAACACAAATGACTGATTTCTTCAAAAAGGTGTAGTTTTACAGTTATGCTTTTGTAATTACATAATAACAGTACATATGTATTAAATTTTCTGTGCATCCTTGACGCCTTTCGTAAGTACAAAGCACTTTTCTGTTTTCATTAACAAAATGAATTTTAGGTTAGTTTTGAGTGATATACTAAAATATTAAGCATTAGTTAAACATGTCCTGCTGTTTATTTTACATTTTATTGTTCCTACAATGGTACATAAAACGATTTTTCAAAGTTGGAATGACTGTTTTCTCTTTTGCTATACCCGTTTTTAGCTTTTTTCGGATTATCCGCGATTTTTGTTATCCGCGGCGGCCGCACCACTCAATTCCGCAGATAATCGGGAGTTTACTGTAATTTGGCTTTGCATTATTCTACTACTGACAATTTGATTTTAATGTTAGAATTGCTGAGCTAGCTTTGTGTATATTTAAATTGTGTTGTCTTTGACTATTAGCCTACATTTTAAATTGAATTTGACTGTTCATTAGTTGCATTACCATGAGCTATGGTTGATATTGTTAACATAAGAACATGGAATTATATTCTTATTTAGGTTCTAAATATTTAAATAAAAAGGTTTATTTAAATCTTTCCTTGACTTTTAGAGTGTAGTTACTTTAAGGTATAGTGATAATTTCTTTCATGTCTATTAGGGATTTTGTACTAATTAACTTTTACTAGATCAAGTAAAACTCCATAATGTCACCAAATAAAGCACTATTTCAGCTTTATTTTTCATTCGTACTCACTCATTATGAGGAAATCATGTTGCAAAGATGTCGTTAACCTTGTCATATTATCATGAGAGGTAGGCTACTTTTTTTTGTGGACGACCCTCTATAAGTGAGAATTTGTTACTCATGTTTATATTTCCATGTTTGTCTGGTATTAAAGGTATGTTTTTTAAATTTGCATTTAAGAATTTATATTTTTTTAACTAGATTCATAGTTGCCATAAGCACAATTTGTATAACCAAAATCATACAGGTAATTTGGACCAAGGAAGGGGGTGGAGACTGATGCAGTTTAAAGAATGCATCAAAGTTTTAATTTTCTATATTTTTATTCAAAAGTTCACATGACTAAAACTGTCATAGTTTGAGAGACCAAGTTCATCAGAAAAAAACTGAGGAATGTGGGCGTTAAAAGGGAATATAATAAACCAAAAATACTACATAATTTTCTCCCTTTATTTTTGCCTGTGGACTGGCCAAAGGAACACTGCTCTCTTCCCCTTAATTTGTGAACTTGTACTCTGCCACCATTGTTGGCAAAATGGAAAGGTTAATGAATGTCTGTGGGGATGCTATGGCATAAGGAAATATAACCCACCTATCTACACTTTTATGGTATTTGATAGTTTTTTTTTTTTTTTTTTTTTTTTTGTTTCTCAAGTGAATATTTTCAAGTTATTTGTCAAGTCATTATTATGGGGAAAAATTCCCTTTACTACAGACATTTAAAAATATAAATATTTATTTTATATAAATTACTAATCCAAGACATCAAGATACACCATAAAATACAGTAGCATAAAGACTATCATCCAAAATATAAAGGATACATGGTTGTAAACTTTTAATAAAATACATCATACCCTTCTTTACAGCCATCACATCCTATACTGGATACAAAATTCCACAGTCCTACTGGCTTTCCATCTAAAAGAACTTCATAGAGGCAACCTGAAAATGATGATGCACGTACTTCACTTGGTGCCTGAAAATAAAACTGAAGATTATTTACCAATTTCTGTTAAGGAAGCAATTCTTTTTTATTTATATGCATATTTTATTTTTTTTGCATTACTTACTCATGGAGAAGAAAATTAAACACTGACATAGCTTCTTACCAGGAAATTATCTGGGAAACCGCCAACAAAAAAATTTGAAGAACTATCTAAATCCATTTTTGTATAGCCTGCAGGTGATGCTCCAGACACTTCTAAAGGATCAGGCTTTTGTCCATCTGGAGTGCGTTTTACACTTAAAGTACCTATGTTCCCAATTCTGAAAAGGAATCTCAGTTTCAAATATGGAATTAAAAAAATTATTTAAATTTTATTTTACTTATTTTTGCATTGATGTGAATATTTTAAATGTTTGTTTTCTCAATCACTTTTAATTTTCTAGTACTTTTAACCAAACTATCAGCTAATATGCATATTTTTAATCCAGTACAATGCAGGATTTTTTTTTTTTTTTTTTTTTTTTTTTTTTAAGTTCTAGATTCTTACTTCATTCTGCACATTCATGCATTTATACCACTGATATATACAATGATTATAGAACTTATTATATTATACAATACAAACTCTTAAACTTTGCCAATTTTTTTAGATCTAAATGTCTACATTATGACAAATTTATTATGCATTTTTAATTCTTTCCTCTTTTCGTGTTTAGATTATCCTCTTACTGCAGTTCATGTATAAGGTTTACTCATTTATGACCATCATATACTATATTGTCATTAAGTATATAATACAATTTTTGTAGTTCTACTAATGACAGAAATGTTTTTATAACATATAATATATGCAGAAAATCCCTATTTCAAGCCCTTATCATATTTATGTATAAAATGTGAACTGTGTGTTACAATGATTTACTTTCTAAAGCCTAGCAGAATGCCAGTTTTGTAAGATTAACATTGCTTAAAGTAAACTATATAAATGATCCACAGCAAGCTACACTCCAGAGAGAAGTGACTCTTCAAAACATGTAACAAATTTCTCCTTTTTCCTTTCCAATTTTATGATATCACTTTGGGATAATTTGTGGTTTCATTTGCATCTGATTATTATTTTATGAAAAAGAAAAGCTGCTAACTTAATGAATTACTTTCTTTCCTTGACATTATTTTGCAATTCTCACCAATCCTCAAAACTGTTAGTCATGACAATCAATTGCATCATGGCTTTAGCAACATGCTTATCTTAATTAATAAATCCAAAGTAGTAGCCATTACTAGTAGCCAAATTATCATTATATTAGTAGCAGGAAGAACAAGTCATATTTAAAATTAGAATAATTGAATTGTGCAGTACAACAGTTTTAAAAAGAAAAGAGATTTTCTTCCTGTCCAACATGGTAAATTCATGAGCATAGATTTAATTTCTTATAAGCTAAATTCTTTGCATTGTTACAGAAGAATCTTATAGCAACATGTGTAAAGAACAGTGGCAAAAAATATGATAAAGTAGACAAAATTTTATATTTCTTATGCAAATAACTCTGGTTATAAAAATCTTCAATAAGTATTATAACTCAAGTGCTTTCAAGCAGTTTTTAGAAACTCTACAAATGTTATTTTATATCCCAGGACTTTTATGCCCTTTCAGAAAGTGCAGGAATTATGATAGATATATGCATATCTGCATGTTCTCAGTTTCACCTTTATTGAAATGTTTCTATGGTTTCTTAGATTGTACTACGCGAGTATTCTTGGTATGCTAAAAATATTCCTTTCCCAAGCCCACTTTCAAATTTTTATGTACATGTACATTCTATGACACAGGGGGAAAAAAGCTTTTTCATATATGATGAACTTGCAAAATTAAAGAGACTATTGTAGGCAAAATTATCTCTATCATATTTTTTCCAAACCATTTTGTCTTTCCAATACCTTTGGCAAAGTTAAAACACTTATATTAACTTAAACTTTAGGCATCTTAAATAAATTAGAAGAAATATTATGTTTTTACATGCTTTTTAATATAAGCTTTGAATAACTAAAAGTGATAATGATAATAACATTATCACTTTATTTCATATTAATAAACTAGATTTGGACATACCTGTTTGCTTCAATTTTAAACCACCGTTCATTTTTCAAGAGCTGATCATTTGTTTCTATTTTTTGCTCATGGGTGATAACTTGAGTTCCACCACCAACATTCCACAAAAATCTGATTTTCCTATCAACCATTTCTATTGCCATGAAGTCCTCCTGGAAGTAACCAGTCAAATTCCATAAAACCAGGAAATCATTAATGATAATCATAATCAAGAAAATTTTAAAGCATTGATTCAAATAAATAATAGCACAATTGTTTTCCCAATTAAAATTACTTTGAAATATCTTAAAATATATTTATAAAATGCGGAACTAGAGAGAGAGCGAGGGGGGGAAAAAACCAGTGAGAATTTTCATTCAGATATTTGAAAGACAATTTCTTTAAATCATGAAATATTGATTCATACGTAGGTTGGGGAAAAAGTCATGGCAACTATTTTTTTTCTTGAAGATACCAGTCCGGTTGGAAAATGTGACATATACAGATGAAAGGACAAGGTCTTAACTACATGTGTGGACAATGAATAGCACTGAATTATCGTAACACATGAATTTATTACAGTAGTATACAGGGCAATATGGCCTTCACCATGCAAAAGAATGATAACACAATACACATAAAGTTGACATGAGTCCCTGTGCGGTCACTGTTCTGCCATGAGGAACAAAGTGGCAAACAATGACACCCCTGATGTCATACGCAACGATCACCATCAATTTGATGGAAAGGATTCTGACGACCTTTGCCTGCTGCCTTGGTGATCCGATGTCGCCCACTCCACGACCTGACATTTCAGATATGGTTTGTATGCCCTGGCCCAAATTCATTGATGGCGATTATTCATGAAAAGAATTGATCGCCGTCCTGTTGCCAGTGTGCAAAGTGGTCGGAGCATATTGCATAGCATACCCACCTTTGAACTCCGTCAGTACATGCGGTACCCACCGCGAAGCCAATTTTGCCATAGGTAGCTCATAACACAATATCATGTGGAATGGTGCGTTTTTTCTCGATGCCACTTACCCTCTCTAACTCCAGAATGCCATCGTCTGTCTTCATCCATGAGGTGCTTCGATGACGGCCCACACTCACCGACGTCCCAAACATTGCTCATCACCTGGTTTGACCACGTCCTTGCTGAAACCATTCCCACCCTACTGTGATATGGTGGCATTATTCCCAAAGGCTTCCTAACAAAATCACTGTGACATTCCATCGCATTTTCTCCTCAGAGAACAGATTTTGATGTAAGCACTGCTCCACACTGGTTATTCAATCTTGCACGACACTCACTCAACTGACTGATTCAGAGCCCTCGCCACCACACAGCCAGCATCACAGCCATCTGTTTCTGATACACCTATCCCTGCAGATCTTCCACATGACACATATATGTTTAATATCGGGTGTTCACATTCTACAAGAAAAAAATAGTTGCCATGACTTTTGCCCCAACCCTCATATTATTAATAAAATCTAATCAGCGTTAATGTATAATTGATGAAAATTAATAGGATTATATACATATTTCAATTTATGAAAATTGCATGAGTAATAAAATAAATACATAAATAAATGAAATATATTCAAGTAAAAGGAATACCTCTTTTGCACTTCCAATAAAAAATAAAAGACTGTCTGTCTGGTCAGAATTTGTAGCATAGTTCAGTATTATATTATTTGTTGTAGATGGTTCAGTAACTGCTGCATAAGAACGAATGCATTTGCCTTCGCTATCAGATGTCAAACCAACTTTAATCTAGAAATTCAATCAAAATAAATTTCAGCACAAAACTATTCCATAATTTTTTAATAATTTAAAAGCATTTTTAGGTGTATAAAAATTATTTTTTTTTAAATAAATTAATGGAAAAGAACTATGCACTGTTAAATTGTGCACTCTTAAAAAGGGCAATAAAGAGAATATCTTAGGAAATAGACCATTTGAAATGCATACATGCACTTTATTCATCTAGTGTAGAATGCAGATAGACATGCCTTTCCTTTATAGAAATGTAAATCTGAATTGTTAATTAGGTGGTACTGCCCGACCACATATTTCAGATTTATGTAAACATCCGGTTTGGGGCAGAAGTGGGCATATCTTTCAGTGATGTAGGGGTGAGTGCAGTAGCCCGATTAGATTTAAATGGTTCTTCCATTTCACACACTATCTTTCGAATGCTGCGCAACAGAAAATTTTTGTCTGAGCTTTATACATTTTAAGCTGATGTACCATGAAATTTTAAAATTACAGAATTAAATTAAAATGCATAGAAACATCAGATCGTGACATTTCAAAGAAAAGCCATTAAAATAACTGTAATAGTAAACTATTTGCCTTTAATACAATTCCATCATCATTTTTATAAATATTTTAATAGATAATATTAATTTAATAATATATTTAAATAGATAATTAAATTAATAATAATTTAGCTAATGCATCTTAGTAATTTTTAATATTTTCAAACATTGAATGAAAAACTTTTATCTGTTTAAATATTCTTTAATAAATTACATTTATTAATATAATCAAATGGTCTATAAATAAAATAAAGCAATTTAATGAGAAAAGGTTGCATAAAAATTATTTTAGTTTTAATTAAACATGCCATACCTTTTTTCCCCCTTTACATTTTTTGCTGCGTAACTAATTGTGATTCTTCATCACAAATTTTAATTATGTTATACACTAATTTCTTAAAATCACTACAGAAAGGTTTATTTTGGGAACACTAGAACTCATTGTAAAAATGAAGATTTGAAAGTAAAAGAAGGTCAGTAACAGCAATGCTCAACGATTGTAAGAAAATGCACTAAATGACACCCGACCTCCGAGAGGAAAAAATACTCGCGCTTTTCACCCACATCCTGTGATACTTCTCAAACAATTTGAAGTAAACTCCAATGATGGAACACACCAATAACTTTTATTTTACACTAAAAAAAAAATGACGATATACAAACAAGAGAAGAAAAGTTATAAAAACTTATTTTTTAAAAAAAATAATTACATGCTTCGTGCGAGGAAAATGCATGCGGCTCTCGAGACCTGCGTTTCAATATTGGCAGTAAACTGTACATTATTTATTATTAATCTATTTCAAATGCACGAGAGATTAATAACGATATTAAAGCTGTTACAACCACTACGACCTCCGAGAGGGAAAAATACCCATGCTTTTCACACACACCCCTTCAATTAAACTGACCCAACTTGGCTCTCAGACAAACTGCTCTCACTAGTGTGGTTAGGCAGTACCTCAGTATACATCCACTTTGAAATATGTCCAACTTCCATATCCTGCTTGGACATGAAAATTCCTGTTTCATATACAGTATTCATTGAGAATATGACCCGAGTTCAATGAGTCACAACTGTGTGCATTATTCTTGTTTACCTTTTTCTCTTGTTTATCTGCAACTGCTCATGAACATCAGCAGGTCTTTTGCTACCATTCAGTAACCACCCCCATGTTAAAACTCTGAATCTTCCAAGTGTCCCCCCCCCATGTATAATGGTTTTTCCCGCAATTTTTTTGCAAGTTCATTAACAATGAATTTTAGGAAAGTTAACAAGAAGAAACAATACATTCATAATTTATCCATCTTTCCAACAACTGCACTTGGATGCGGACTGTAATCATAATTATCATCATAACGGAATGCAGCAAGGTTTAAATCAGTGTGCAGTTTTTGTTTGGATCGAGCAGTGTGTACTCGAATGTTTTCCAGTCTTGCTTCCCATTGATCTCTGTTTCAGACAAATGGTCTTGAGTAATGTTTACTCGAACATTTTCCAGTCTTGCTTCCCATTGCTCATCTGTTTCTGATGAATGGGCTTGAGCAGTACATACTCAGATGTTTTTTAGTCTTGCTTCCCATTGCTCATTTATTTCTAAAGCTCGTGATGCTTTTTTCTTTCATTCTTGGGGTGTAGATCAAGCAATCGATTTTTGTTTTGGTGGCATACTTCATTTCATAGTGAAAATAATGTTTTGTGATGACTATTACAAATTCAGAAAGCAAAGAAAATGCGCTTGATGCAATAACACACATGTTAATACATAAAAAATTAAATATTTTATGTTTTGATGAACGGTAATATACTTTAAAATATTTTAATTTAGGCAGTGGCAGCACATTTCTCATAAAGAGATGTGTTTATTTATTAAATTTGAGAAAATATAACTGTATTTTCTAGAGTGGGAACACATTTTTTTTATATTGCCGAATTTTCTGATTAAACTTGAAATGTATATATCTTACACTTTGCAGGGTGGAACACAAAGCTTTTAAATCTCTGAATTTTAATCAAACATTCATTAAATTAGCATAAAATATATTTATATAAAGAATTTGGGCACCATGGGCTGGTTTTTGAAAAATGTTATGCAGGCAGTGACCTTCCTCTTGTTTTGAAGGTCGAGTGTTTCAAGTTTCATAAAGATCATAATTAAACTGTAGATTTGTAGGAAAGACAAACAAATAAATGCAAATAAACAAACAAATAAAAAGAGAGATATTTAATTTATTCATTATTTATTACTTTTATATTTTACTAATTTATTCATTTATTTTTGTTCATCATTCCTGACAGCTTTCCATGGAGCTCCAGCATTTCTAATTTTAGAAATTAAGGCCTGGCTGTAATATTAGAACAAGTTTAGAACTTACATCAGAGACTGCTAACAGATCTTCAGTTAAAGAAGCAAATCAAAATAGCTGTAAAACTTCAAAAAGTATACTTAAAAATTTCTATTAAAAAAGTTTTAAAAAGATTAAATGGATTGATTAATTCCATAATTTTCTCTCAAAACAAGAACCGTCATTTAGATGCATTAATAGCTCTGCTGATTCCACAGACAAATAAAGTTGGGTGAAACTGAAGAATTTTAATAAGAGAACAAAGTAAAGCACAGGACACTATTATTCAGAATTATTTATAAATTAGAGTTTGAAAAGTTTACAAAAATGATTTAAAAGGAAATAGTAATTTCTCAATTTGTTTCAATCAAAAAGCCAGTCAGCCTATTCACATATACACACACAGAAGCAAGGGAGGGGGGAAAAAGGATTTCCTCTAAAACAAAGATGCATATAATTTTGAAAATTTTCATATGAAGCAGCACGCCTTATAAGAAAATTCAAGATATGCTCCTGGGGGTCACGTATAAAAAATCCATAAAAATTTATTTCAATGTCAAATGTAATATGAAATCTGCATTGAAGTTTGAAGATAACTATGGAATATTACATTGTCATTGTGATATGACTGCAAAATATTTTTTAAAATATGGGTCAAGAACTGATTTTAGCATTTGATTTTAACAAACAAAAAATGTAAACAAAGCTGTATAATTATATATTTAATATGGTAATATAAAGCGTACATGACTTTTTTTAGGAAAGAATTTTTTTTAATTTGAAATAGTTATACGATTACTATAAGAAAATATAAAAATTGTCTTCTGGCGCACATGATTGCTTAATTGAAAGTATGGCACATTGCTACAGAGCTTAAGCAAGTTTTGTTTATCTAATTAAAAATATAATGAACATTAGAATTTATAGTTACTGCATATAAAAATCTTAGGGATGTTACAGCTGTAAACAGATTTTGTAAATTTCGAAGGCTACCATAAATAAAACAAGAAATCTAATTTATAAGCATTACATGTAAAAATCCTAAATAGATTATAAAAGTGACAAATTTTGTGATTATGCTAAAGTTAAAAAACACATTTTTACTCACACTAGAAGCTTTCTGCCGTGCCAATAAAATCTTATCTTTCAGCTCTTTCAAATTAAGCTTTGTCAACTCATGCTGCTTTCTGACTCGTCTAGCTGATGCATCTGCATTGTCTGCTAATTTTGTTGCTGCTCTAGTATCTTCCCGAGCTTGCTGGACTAAAAAAAAAAAAAAAAAAAAAAAAAAAAAAATAAGTAAATAGAAAAAGTAATAGCATTACCAGTTATTTATTCTATGGCTCAAATATTTTAAAATTATCATTATCGATTTTAAAACAGGAAAAAAAAATTTAAATAATATCTATACTTAAAAGAATATTGAACTGAACTACACAAACTAAACACTGATAATGCTAATACAAAATAAACATAACATGTTTAAAATATGTGTTTGCTGTAAAATACTCTGAAGTATAGTTCTTATTTATTTTATGCTATATTGAAACCCAGAACATTTAACATTTTTACAAGTGAATCGTATTAGCATTTTCTAAAATTTTGAACTAAACAAGATTTAGCTATGCAGACAAAAAAAAAAAAATCTTACAAGAAAGAAGAAAAGTTTTTAATATTAAATATCTGAATGTTCCTAGAGTGGAAAGCAAAGCAGGAATAAATTTAAGCTTGGGCAATTAAGAGAGGATTTTTTTTTAAATGATTCAATTATTTCAATCAAAACAAAACTGCAAATATTACTGATAATATTTTATCAATGTTTAAAACCTAAGGTTAGCAAATGATTACTATGACTAATGCTACTCATTTCTTCAATAAAAATAGAAAAGAAATTGATACTATTATTTTTAATTGTCAATTATTTATACTACTATGATTGCAAATAAATAATATCAAATGAATATTTTACATCTGATGCACTCTCAAAAGCATCTCATTAAATTCATAAGAACAGTACAGAATAATTAAGGAAGTAGCTACTGAAATATAAAATGTACACAGATGGCAAGTGTTAGAAAAATATAAGATGTGAAAAAGGAGAAGAGTATCATATGAAGCAATAATTTAATTGCATTAATATAATAGAGAAATAAAAGAACATAATAGAATAATAAATAAACTAATATAATAGAAAACTAAAAGAAATCAGGTACTATTTTGGAATACTCTGGAACATAAAAGAACATACTGTTGGAAAAAATATACAGTCAAAAGTCTTTAATCCGGACGTCCATAATCCGGAATGATCTATAATCCAGACGTCCATAATTCGGAATGATCTATAATTCGGACCTCAAAGCTACAAACTTTCTGCGCTTCCGTATGTGCATAATATGTTTATGCATGCGTGTTTAATATATAACAGACGGTATATGCTAAGCTAAAATTATCTAATTATCTATTTCAGTTAATGTTGCAGATTGCGTTGTTCCTTAATCTTCTAATTGGATCCGGCTTATTATTTTTTGCAGACTAGAGCAATTTTATAAAAGTAAGCTTGAACTTTCGATTATGTCAAAAAGAATTTCCAATTCTGGAGCTGCCAAAGGATCTACAAAGCAAAAGCATGTTTCGATGTCCATAAAAAAAAAAAAAAAAAAAAAAAAAAAAAAAGTGGAATTGCTGCAAAAAATGGATAGGCATATCCTTTGTTTATCTAACCATTTCGAAATCTGTTTATCAATTTCACGCTGATATGCAGGGGGGAGTGAACGTAGCGGCGCACAATGAACTGGAAGTTGATCTGTCAGCACTATCTTTGTCTTCAGGGCAGATGTTTTTATTTTATTCGGTTTATAATTCCTTACTAAATGTAGTATTTCATCTCGATGTACTCCATCTTTGATATGATTTAACTCAAATTCCTCGTCATTATAAATATCACAAATACACATCAAATAGTTTTCTGGTTGCAATTTTCCAATTTTGACTATGCGTAACGTATGCTTTACGCATACTCGCGTTGAAAGAAATGTTGAGTAAAGTAAACAAATAAATATTAAGCCTTTTTTTTTTTTTTTTTTTTTTTTTTTTTTTTTTTTGTAAATTTTGATACCCTTTAGATGATTTTATTTCTACAATAGGTTTATGCTAATTACCTAACGCCAATCCTGAATCAAAATCACATAAATTATTAGAAATTTAAAAGTAAAAAGAATTTTACTTTTAAACAGTATAAGAGAATATATTTGTAAGACTTGTAAGATAAAACAGAAATAGCTTACTTATGCGAGTTAGATTCTCTAATCCACCAACAGTACCAGCTCGAATAGATTCAAATTTTGGAATGAGATCATTTTCTAATCTTTGTAAAGTATCATCAACTTTTGCTTTGGCTCCATTAGCTTGACCTTCAGCTATTCTTGCAGTATTAGCAGTGTCCTCAAGTAAGTCCTTCAGTCCTGAATTTTTAAATGAAAAAATCACTTGCATGTTTTGAGGAAATAATATATTACAAAATTATGAAGCAAATATTATTCTAAAGACATTTAAATTAAATTATAAAAATCATTTTATTCGAATATTAGTTTTACCTAAATAATAAAATGGCAAAACTTAGTATTCTGTATAATAAAACAATTAAGGGTATTTTCAGTTATATTAAGAAAGCTTTATTTATAGAATGACAAATTACTTAAAAATAAGTAGGAGCAACAACTTGTTTGTTTATAGATGCATTTTTCATTACTAATGGGCTGTAAAATATTCATAATCAACATACTAATAACTTACAAAATACTACTAACATATCTGTATTACATAGCTACATATTTATAGAACATAGCCCTATTATTTATTTATAGAATGCACAAAATATTACTTAACATACATTTGTAAAACATACAAATATGAAATATTACATATTTATAATTTTCAAGAGCTGTTCATTCATATTGTATTCATTGTATTTTGTTGAAATCTTAGCACTTGTTAAAGTCTGAATATCACCCTTTGAAAACTTATAAAATTCTGAACAAAACTTGCTCTCATAGTTTATTGTTACCTGGAGTTCTGCATGGATTAAATCTGTTAAATAGCTGTTTGTTGTGTCACTTCACTTACTTTTCATGAATGAAAAGATTTGCTCTATAATAGCATTTGAGCCATAATAGGCTAAAAACAAAATCCTACCAATTTGGAAATATTAGATAGATTTTGCTTATGTACTGAATAAAAGAATGTAGGTCAGACTGCTACATAATTACTTTGTTTCCACTGCTTCAGAGACAATCTGAGTGACTGCTGAACTTCTTGCACAGCTCATCAATACAAACATTTGCATTCAGCTGAAACACTTTTTGGCATTTTTCAAAATCCTTGAACTCAAGCATTTCCTGTTTAGAAGATGCTATAAGGGATGCATAGATTTATCCTTTGTCACAACAAATATTTTTTTGCAGATGCTGAAGCATATTGCTATAAAAATTGTAGAAGTCTTCAGCAAACTTTTTCTATAATGGCACAGATAATTTATTAATTAGTTCTTTTGGTTTACTACCGAAACAGTCGTCTTTCCTCCTCTGATGGATTTCAGAACCGAGTTTCATTTTTTTTGTATATTTGTAATTGTTTGTAAGAAATTAAAAGTAAATTTCAGGCAACATTGTTTTCTCAGGATCGTTTTTCCTTAAAAAGTTAGATAATAATTTTAGACGATTGGCAATACTATTGAAGGAACTTTTAATTGCTTCTCAGTCCTAAAGCAGTCAAAAAATGGCTAGTGTTAATGACAGCCATGTAGATGGAACATGCCTAAAATTTTCAATCCACTTCAAATTCACAACTGATTTTAATGACAGAGAAGATGGTATCACTTTTTAAGATTATAGTTCATCTCTCAACATCAGTATCTAATTTGCCAATTGGAAACTTAATTGTGCTGTGTACAACATGATTAAAGCCATTAACGTTCAGTAAATTTGAATATTTCCTCACAGCAAATGATTTACTGAATATATTTTTTGAAACAACCTTGCACTATCAACTACTATCTGCACAATAAAAAGACACATAATCCTCACCCATGTTGTGCTTTTCTAAGTTCTGCAGCATTAAATCAGTGATTGCCATAGCTGTTTTTCTCAGCACTTTCAACAAAATGTAAAAGTTTATTCTGAAATCTCTTCAAAAGATTGAACTACTGGATGCAAACTGGGAATACTATTTGATTGCTTCTGTTTGATATATCAGTAATCAACAAACAAACAAACAAACAAAAAAAAAAAAAAAAAAAAAAAAAAAAGAACAATTTAAGTGTCTTCTGGGCATTTTAAAATACACAAAGACATTTCAAATTTTATGAGGTAATTTTTCTTAATTATCGTTTTTACTTTAATGCATCTGCATGAAAGTTTGGAAGCAATCATGGAATTGTTGAAAATATGGAACAACAACAAAACAAAACAAATATATATATATATATATATGGAACAAAATGTCTAATTTTTATAATATCGCTTAGGTGATAATAAATAAATACAAGAAGTTCTGCACCTCTACATGCAAAATTCATAGAGATATTAATAGTTAAAAGTTTCAAGGGATATATTCCAAAGTTAATAACAAATTTTATTACTGATTAAAATGACGGTTGAAAACAGACTAATATTAACAAATCAAACACAGTTTTTAATTACATTTTTCTTCTGTTTCCGGAAAGTAAATTAGTAGCAGTAGCATTCCTGTATAATATTCTTTGGCTACATATATGAAATGCTTGACCCATACAAAATTGATTAGTATCACAAGTTAAAATGCAGTTCTTTTCTCACCTGTTGGAAGAGCATCTAATTCTCGATTAATCAAATCATTGTTTCTCTTTCCAAATGCTAAATCTTCAGAAAGGGCTTCAAGTTCATTTCTTCGCATTTGCATTTTCTCTTCCAGTTCTATAAAGTAATAAAAATGTAATGATAATTATCATTTATTTGTAATTTCTAAAAGTATATAGAAAGTGTGACTGAAAAATAAGATGAATCACATTCAATCCTCTAATGGGAACTATCCTACTCACAGCAACATGTCTGAAACATTCTTTCATATCTCAGCTAAAATCAGTGAATATGAACTTGATTTTTTTTGGCAGATTGGCATGAAAAAAATGGCATGCATTCCACAGCTTTTAATATGTATCATTAATGCAGTGCATAATGAAGAGAGAAATATGAAATTATGTTTTTCGAATCTAAGTAAAAATAACACACTGAATAATGATTATTGGAGGTGTTAAGGCAACAAGAATGAATATTACGCTGATTCTTGTTGCTTTAATACCCTCAATGATTCTGTTTCCAAACTGGGTGAAACTGCAATAGAATGAAGTAAGTGGTCGGATTTGTATCACCCTCTTTGTTTTCCCAGTCTTGCCCCACCAGACTTCCTTCACTTCCCAAAACTAAAATCTACTCCGAAAGAGACACAGACATTCTGATTTTGCACACATCCGAGCTATCCTGAGAAAAACTCTAAGATGTTACTATGGAGTACTTTTTCATATGTTTTAAAGAGTTTTATTAACATTGTTAGAATTTTATTGCATCACAGGGAGGATTATTCTGAAGGCGAATTAGGTATACCTGTTCCAATATTTTACACTGTCAGATTTCTATGATGATTTGGTGGACTTTTTTTCCCACACCTTGTCTCTTTTTCTCTATATATAAACAAGCTAAATTTATTTTTGCAACATATTAAACATCTGCATTCAAACTTCAATTATGCAGTTAATGATAATTCATGTCTATACTCAATTCTAAAAAAAGAAAAGAAAAAGAAAAAAGGGGGAAGAAAGAAAGAAAAAGAAAGACAACAAATATTTACATATATACACTCTTATGGATAGTGAAATTCCATCACCTAGAAGAAATCAGTTTATAGAAATAAAATGTAGGTAAAGTATTTGTCTACTAACATACTTATATGATTAGCGTTTCAAAATTACAAGATAAAGCATAAGCAAAGGTGGTACATAGAATAACCATTAGAATCACCATGATTTTAAATGTAAGCATGCAGATGCTCATTAATTGCATTGTACAAATTGCATTGTACAAGTGCTGTATGCCATTTTGTGGGATGGAGTTCCATGCCTGTTGCACTTGATCAGTCAAATCAATAACAGTCTATGCCGGTTGTTGATAATGCAGTATTTGTTGTCCAGTCATATCCCATACATGCTCAATGGAAGAAAGATTGGGTAATCTTACTAACCAAGGCAACATGTTGATACTCTGGTGAGCATGTTGGATGATAGCAGTGGAATGGAGATGAGCATTATCCTATTGTAAAACTCCCCTGGAATATTGCTCAAAAATGGTAGCACAACTGCTGCAATTATCAGTCAGATGAATAAATTTGCTATCAAGATGTGTGGTATAACAACAAGAGTGCTCTCACTGTCACAGGAAATTGCTCTCCAGACCATAATTTCTAGTGTAAGGCCACTGAATCTGTCTATGTCACAGCTTAGTTCCAAGGATTTGCTGGCTTCCTTGTAATAAATATATGGCCATTACTGGCATCAAGATAGAAATTCTCTCATCTGAGAGCACAACTTCATTCCACCTTCTAATGAGCTTTAACTTGACACCACACAAGCTGGTAGTGAATTGGAATTAGTAGTATGATCACTGCAGCATGTTTGGCTCTAAGCCCCTCCCAAGTAATTGATTTATTACAGTTCACTGAATTACTTTAGTGCCAACAAAAGCTCATATATCTGGTGCAGAACGCAATGCAATGCACCACAGAAAAGTGGTGAATAAGACAATCTTTCCTTTGAATGGTGGCCCGTTGTGACCAGACTTCTTGAGATAGTACCTTCCAGTGAGCACTGCTGCCAATGCACATACATCTGTGCAAAGTCTTTTTGCAATATTGAGGGGGAAAAAAACCACCACCTTTCAGTAGCCTTAACATTCAGCCTCATTCAAACTCAGTAAACTGCTGATAATACCTTTTTCATCTCTTTAAACACATTCTTGACTCAAATCTCATTCAAAATGCTCAATCTGAAAGATGAAGAAGCACACAAAATTTTCATCATAAAGCAAATGTGATTTGTATGTTCTAGTGGTGCTACTAGTGCCACACTTATTTATCCAGCATAAAATCTGAATCAACATCATACCTTCCAAATTTCATTTATTTAGCACACCTCCTTCTTGGTGTTGGGATTTCATTTTTCATCAGTGTAACACCAAGCAAAATATATATTCTTCTATTCCATAAGTCAGTTCTAGAAGTAGTTCTGGTCTAGTCTGTTTTAGAATAATTACTTCAGTTCTAGAAGTTAAGTTGGACTGATTATAGAACTGATTATGCCAACCTTAAATTTCTGATTGGTATATATATATAAAAGGAAGAAGAAGAAAGAAAAGAGGAAAACAAAAGAAAAGGCTGATTTTGTACACACAAGGAAGAATGATAATATATAAAATTAAACATTATATACCTATTTACAATCTACAAAAAATTATGGAATATGAAGTTTGGATTGTCAGAAGCAAAACTTTCTTATAAAATATGGCATCACTTTAAAGCATTTGATATTGTCAAAATAGTGCTTTGTTACCAAATATAATTACATATCCTATTTTCAAATGCCTGTGTATTTCCGTTAAGCAGCCTTTTTTTTTTTTTTTTAAACATTTTACACTTCCGAATAATAAAGATCATCTGAAATTTTTGTGCTGCTTATGTATTAATCCAGTTTATAATATTCTAACTGAATGAAATACTTTCACTGCTTTATTAAAATTGCTTCCTCAAAGTTTTTACCAAATTTGCAGACTACAATTTGAAATAAAATCCTTAAATTATTTATGCTTAATATAATTCAATTATTATTCCTTACTTAATTATATACATTTACATAAAAGCAAACTGTTGTTTAAAAATTCTCAGTTTGACACATTTATTCAGTCTGATATACACTAACAAGCCAAAACATTATGACCATCCCCGCATTTTTAATTAACTTTTCTGGATGATGTGGAGGCCCCGTGCTTTGGTTTGGATTAATGAGATTACGGCAAAGCACACTAAGGCTTTTTAAGGGAAGGGATGCCTTTGTGCAGGACTTTCTAAAGGAAACTGACTTGTATACATGTTATACATGTGGAAAACCACGAAACTGCCCATGCAGTAGCCCATTTGTGGGATTCTAGACCTCAGATAAAACTACCAGTGTTCAGCGGCTTTACCACTCACCCGCTGGTGGGCATGTGATTAAGTGGGAATGGTAATTAACTGCTGCTGGAGAAGGTAAGGAATCAATCTTGAACTTACTTTTAAGAACACTTGCTTTCATAAACAATTTAATATATTATGTGACTGCAGAAGATAAAGCATACTCATTTAGCATTCCAAAAATATTCGATTAACTATGTAAATTATGAAATGCCTGGTTCACTGCTGATAACTAAACAAGTATTTCAAAACCCAACACAATTTAAACACATGCAAAGAAATTATTTCCAATTCATAGGCAACCTGTTCTTTATAATCTTAATATTCTACATAAGAATGCTCCAAAATCAGGGAACTGAAAAGTTAAAGAACGAATGAGCACCTGAATTTGAAACTGAGAACTCGTTAGATGATTTTTAAGGATTAGATGATTTTTATTTTATGACTGTGAATTTAAATAACATAGATAGAATATATATCTATACAACCTGACACGATTTAAAGGCTTATTATGAATTAATAGTACTTACGAGAAATTAATAGGGTATATTAGAGAAGCAAACTATAAAAACTGGTTAGAACTTCCGACTCGACCTTCTCTTAACTCGGATCACACACACACACAGATATATAACAATTGTACTTTGGGCGGAAGATGAAAACAATTCACTTTTAGTCATGGCCGGAAAAACTGCTGTGTAGATGGTTGGATATTATGGTGTAATGGATGATCAAATGAATTTTTAGAAGCACGACCAGCTTAATAGTTACACATAATTTATTCTTGAATGGCGAATTTCTTAATGCATAACTGTAGAAGGTTATGGGTGCTAAATGTACCCCATAATTTTAGACATACAATTACATTTTAAATAATGACAAATAGCTAGCAGAGGCTGAGCGACAAGCTGTCAGCATGCAGGCGAAGAGGTGAAAGAGAGAGAAACTATGCAGTTATAGCTATTTATACAAGATAGGTGCACAAAGTACAGATAATCTGTGATTGGTTAAACTTTGGGTTTCAGTTCCATTTACATCATCAGAATTAGATTTTTCTAGAAACGATGCAGTGGAAAGAGGGGTTACTATTTTTTTTAATTGAGAAGGGAAATTTATGTTGCTAATTTAATCTTTCACATATTCTTTATTTTTCTTACATATATATGTAAAATATAAAAAATAGGATGGCTTTTCTCTTTGAAGACTGTCCCACATGGCACAGCAAAATCGGTGCTAAACAGTAGCTCAGCTGACAGCCCAATACAATGCAGGTCCAAATGCAAGTGTTTTGGACCACACAGTTCTGCAAACACTGTTGGATATGGTACTTTGCAGCAGACATCCCACTCATGTGCCTATGTTAGCCAACTATCAGTTATAGTTAACCAACTATCATTGTCAACTATGCTTACAGTGGGCCCAGGAACATTAAGAGTGGACCATGGATAAGTCAAAGACAGTTGCTTAGTCGAATGAATCACAATTTCTCATTCATCACATCAACAGTCGTGTCAGGGTATGCTGTCTTCCAGGTATACATTTGCTCCCCTTCCCTATACAGCAGGTCATATATAGACTGGTGGTGATGGTATTATACTTTAGAGGACATTCTCATGGGCACCCCTGGGACTCATAGTTGTGGTAGAACAGACAATGAAAGCTGTGGACTATGTGAAAATAACTGCAGATTAGTTGCACCCTTACATGGTCTCTGTTTTCCCAACTGGAAATGGAGTCTTTCTGTAGGACAATGCCCCATATTACAAATTATGTTGGAATGGTTCGAGGAGCATAAGGATGAATTCCAATTAATGTCCTGGCTACCTAATGTGCTGGATCTTAAGCCAATCGAGAACATCTGGGATGTCATAGAGTGGCAGCTCAGAGTTCAAACACCATCATGTCGGATCATTTCAACTTTGCGTGACTGCTGCTTAGACATTTGGTACAATCTGTGGCTAGTCATCTGCCAAGAACTTGTGGCCTCTATGCCAAAGTGAGTTGCAGCTGTTTTGCAGGCCAAAAGTCACGCAGTGTGTTATTGAGTAGGTGATTATAATGTTTTGGCTCTTCAGTGTATGTAATTATTGTAAAATATACTATTGTTTTGATCATTTCTTTACTGTACCTCATCCTTATTACATGTTTAATCCAAAATTAAAGTATTAATTATCAGATAAAATAATATGCACAACATGAACCATTACTACAAAGTATTTTCATATAAAAAAGATGATTTATAGAACTTAGCTGAATTTTTTCAAATTTTTTTAACCTTGGATTTTTTTTTGCTTGCTTTCTAGCTTTGTTAAGTTATGTCATATAGACAAAAAAGAGCATATATCTTTTTGCATGAACTTTTTTAAAAGTATGAACAAATACTAACTAAAAGGGGACATTATTAATCATAATCATAATTAATAAATAAAATAGAAATGACTGAAATTAATGTTTTGCATGTATATGGTTCTTATTTCATATTTTTGTTATGGGAATTGATCATGCAAAGATTTTAAAAGCAACATTTGGAAATTCTGGAAAATTACAGATGGCACTGAATCACTAAAAATTTGTAGTAATTAATATAGATATATATATATATATATATATATATATATATATATATATATATATATATTTGCTTATTTACAGCAGTTTAACAGCTAATTTTTTATCATCATGTATTTTTAGATGAGCTAATTTGTATATATACTTTTTACAAACATATCAAGGGTTCATTATTGGTAAATTTTCCTTGTTATGGAAGTAACTTTTTAGGAAAGATTCTCTTTACAGAAATTACTACCACTTTCCTATGCCTCCTATTTAAGAAATTATAGGCTCAAAATTGTGAAAATATGTTTACCTGGAACTTTTTCATCATTCAACTTTTGAGCTTCTGCAAGTAACTGCAAACTCTTTGCTCTGGCTTTATCTGCTTGTTCTGTCAAAGCATCTCCAACTTCAGGATATGCCTACACAAGTTTTATTATTATAATTAATGCATAAATAAGAAGTACAGATATAAGAAATTTATTATATTAATGTTCTCTTAGATATATTTCATTCCCAACTAGTAAATGAAAAATTGAATTTGATATACAGATAAATTATCTACCTGTCGATATGCTCTTTCAGCAGCAGTTTCTGCTTCTTGTGCTGCTAATTCGGCTGCAAGAATTGCATCAACTATGTTTTGATAGGCTTTTGCAGCCTGCAGAGGGAATTGAGACAGCTCTTTGGTAGCTAAAAATAAACTAAACATGCAAAATTATATAAAAATCTATTAAATGGAAAATAAATATAGACTTAAATTATATAAATATGACAGGTTTTCTTTTAAAACAAAGAAAAGTAAAATTTAAGTACTTAAGGAAAAGAAGATATTCCAAATTCATTATTACTAAATAGATTTTAATATGTGTGTTACATAACATTGTTTTAAGAATGATAGGTAAACTGTTAAGCAACAAAATTTTAAATATTTTAGCATACATTTTTGCAAAACAATTTTAATTTAAAACACAATGAAAAAAATAATTTATTTTCCAATAAAATCCATTTACTGCCAAGACTTGCAGACTTACTTTGCTAAACGTTCACTTTGGCTTTCAAGTTGATCTGCATGTTTCTGAGCTGGAATCACATATTTTTCTTTGTATAAAGGATTTAAATGAGTTAAAATGCCTCTGTGCTCATCCAGTCTATCTGTAGCATTGCTAAGATCTCTTAGTAGCCTTGGAAGGTACTAAAATGGAAATAATACTGCAATTTCATAAACTATCAAATCATCAACATTAAATATACATTCATTCTAATTATAGTTTTCTCAAGTGGCATAAATAATAAATGCATATTAAAATATTTTGCATATAACTTTCTAATTAATCAAACATTGATTTGCAATGCAGTCATTTATTTAATTGCCAAAAATTGTAATCCAAAGCCTTTAGGTTGCAGTATAACAATTTAAAGAAGAATTCTCCATTGAAAATTTAAATAAATAAAAACATCATAAAACTTTTTTTTGTTTGTGTGTGTGTATCAGTTACATAATACATAGTGTTGGGAACATCTTTTAGTAATTACGATTATTCTCAATAATCTGCAAATACTTATAAAATTATTAATTATATACATTATAAATGACATATATCTTAATTTGTATCCTTTAGGTAGGTTATTTAAAAAGCATAATTCAGATATAAGTTATTAAAAATTATGTTTGTTTCTTTTAAATCCTTCTTTTTTTTAATCATTCATTTAATCAATCAATTAATAATTCATTTAATAATCCTTTTTATCATTCATTTTATCAATCAATTCATTCATTTAATCATCATTTTTATCATGCATTTAATCATCATTTTTATCATTCATTTAATCAATCAATCACAGATTGACTAAATTTGAAAGAAAAATTATAAAGGTTTTAGGCTTTCCACAATTTATGCTGCTGTTGCAATAACTGACTGAGTTATATGATTACCTCAAATTTCACAGCACCATCAATAATTGCACTTTTTGCTTTAGAAAGGAGATCATCAGCTTCTTTTAGAGTCATGTTAGAAGAATCAATGTAGCCACTGATTTCATCAACTATTCCCTAGAAAAATTAATGCATAAACTTAAAAGGACATACATGTTATTCTTTCAGTTTTTCAGATTCATGTTGATATTAAGGCTACAATTTAAAAAGCAAATAACAAAATAATAATTCAGAATTACTCGGACTGCTTTCTCTCGAGCTTTTCCTGCTCGTGAAATTTCAAGGGCTCGTTCTGAAGGTTTCCTGACCTTTTCATCAATTTTGATAACTAAATCAGCTAATGCTGTGTCCAATTCAGCAATTTTTTGTTTCAGGTCATCCACATGACCATGATCCAAAGTCAATTTCTTTAAATTGTTCAGCAAATTTTGAGCTTTCCTAAATGACGAAATGTGTTATTAAAGACCTTATTAAATTAATATCAAGAATAATTATATTGTAAAAGTTTGATAATTTGACATGTTCAGGACTAGTATAATGCCAGACCAATATCGTAGTTAATAAAAAAAATTAATTCAGAGGTGATGTTGAATGTACAAGGGAATGAAAACATTGCATACAGTAATATTGGAAATGCATTTAATATGAAAATTTTATTAGCAAATAAATTTATTTATAGCATAATTATGTTTAATCAGTTTGAACTTTGAAATCATCATTATTATAATGCATGAAATATTTTAAAGCTTAATGTCCACCTGCTTCAGAAATTCCATTCTTTTTTTTAAAAAAAAAGGGAGGGAAGAAAGAAAAGAGGGTGGATGAACCCAATTTTTACAATTTTATACTTTTAAATTTTTTGGTGAATTACATCTAATGCTTCTTCAGTCTTACAGCTAATGATCTTAGTTAAATTTTCTTTTAAAACTTTTCAAATAATTAAAGCAAGCAACAATATAGAATGTGAAGTTTTAAACAATATATATATATATATATATGTAAAGAGAGAGAGAGAATGTGAAGTTTTAAACAAAGAACAAATTGAATGGTGGTGGGGGGTGGAATTGATGCATCTCTTGGGTCTTACTAAATATTGATGAATAAAATGTTTGTTATACCATCTTATGACAATTATGTCAGCAGAGGGATGCCAGATTATTGGGTGTGTCAAACTTTTTATTGCCAAATTATCAGACTTTTACTCTAAACCTTTCTGATTTTTCTAAGCATGCACATTTCTAATTCTTAAGCTATAGCTGCTTGATGCTAAAACATTCTACAAGTACATTAATGTGGAAAAAAAGTAATTTTGCAATTTTAAAAAAAAAAAAAAAAAACTCCAGTTCCACAAGCAGTCAAAATATTAAGCAATAAAACCTTTCATATTAGTTGAAGAGTATGAATAAATATTCTTTCTCACTCTTCATTTGCTTATTGCTCTCTGCACTTACAGCAGAAAACATCACACTCTTCATACATAAAAATATTTTTTATTTGAAATATATATAATGTAGATTATTTTCTTAATTTGAGGCACATTTAAAAATGCACCTTTTAGAAATTTTCATTTATAAACATAACCTAATGCTCATTATTCTGTTTTCATTTTTTCCCTATAAATTACCTTTATTATTAAAGAAAGAGTAAAATATGCTTAAATTGTATTTAATTGTAAAATGCACCTTAATTCTCGTTCAGCATCATCTTTATCAGGATTAAAATTTCTAGCTTTAATTTCCTGAAGGATTCTTTCTGCTTCATACAATGTCCTTTCAACAGAAATCCTTTGTCCTGTTGGTTGTGATTCTAATTCAGCCACTAGTTCTAAAAAAAGGAAGATGAAGATAAGATTCTCAATATAAATTGAATTTTAAAAATTGAAATAAATTTTGCATTAACTGTAATAAATGAAATATGTTCAAATAAAAATATTTTGAAGGGTCGTTACATTACAACACTTAAAGACAACACATCACAAAGGACATATAACAGAATAAAAATTACAAAAGAAATATAAACTGCATTATATGATTCAGGCAACGTGAAACTTTTAGCTCAACATCATAGTGAGCATATAACATTTGAAAAATTTGTAAAAGACTACTAGATTCAAAATCATAAACTACTCACAATTTAAATTCTTTCAAATGAATAGAGGTTTTGTTTAAAATGATATACATTTATAATATTAAATTTTCAGAATAAACAATATGCATATTGACTAAACTAAATGATATGCATTAAAAATTTACCTTTAATACTTTGCTTTATTTTATGAAGTTCTGCAAGCAATTTCTCAGCTTCATTCAAGGTATCTTTTGCATCCACAGAAACAGAATTGGCTTTTGTTATATATTCCTTTGCCTGCAGTATAATGTAGTTGTTATGTTTAATTTTATCAAGAGAAATAATTTTTAAAAAATCAGACGTTTCTTCATATTAAAAAAAAAAAAAAAAAAAAAAAAAAAAAACCACATTGATTCTAGATGCACTTCTGATTAAAATGTTTCACAAAATTAAATAGCAAACTTTATGAAAACATTTCATTTCAATGGGGGCAGAAAAATTCCATAAATATAAAATCTAATTTTTTGTTCAATATCGATCATGTAAAAATTCCAGTTTGCAGTACACTACAGTATGCATTAATAAGTTAAACACATTCGTTTTCAAATATCTTTGTTAATTCTGCACATAAAGGCATGGAATCTTTTGTATTTAAGTATTAATACCATAATGCATATTTCATTAAATGAAATTTTTGTTCAAGTTGTAGAACATATTTAAATTAGAGGGATTATCTCAGGGCATGCCTATAAATTTGAAATTGTTCAAAAAGAATTATTATTTCTTATGGCATCATCAATTTTATTTAGAATCAGAAATTCAAAACAGGATAAGTTGCACGCTGTTGTGTCTTTGCTAATTCTGCCTCTGCATTCTCTGTATATGACAGCATCATTAATGATAAAATGTATTTTGCAAGGGCAGAGGGAAAAGTTTATTCCTCATTTTCTTCCGCAATGCAAGACAGTTTACTAGTTTTCCCCTTATTGCATGCTGGCTCAGCATAATATTCAAGCAGGAAGAAATGAGTATTTGTTGTTTAGCATTGAATTTAGCTCAATTTATATCATGTTTGAGGGATTACAATTACACTTCCAAGGCAAGTATTTTTTTCTTCAATATTTAAGTTATTCAGTTTTGTATAAAGTTTTTAAATGAAAGCTGACTTATTTCATAGATATTTATTTTTATTTCTAGGTATCTTTCAAAATTCTGCATCATAATGCATTAAACCTGTAGTATTATATGAATATTTTTTTTAAGAAATTAGAAGCATAGCTGATGATGAAACAGAGCAGTTTACATGAACTCAAAGGACTGAATTCAACTAATATTTTATTATGATCATGCTCTGAAAAATAAAAATTACTTTAAAATGATAAATCTTAGCATACATGTGCAGTAAAAAATATAAGATATAATCAAACTACACAATGTGCAAGAAAACCAGTTAATTAACAGTTTATGATGGTTAAGAAAAGTTTTTCTTTTGCTGTGATCATTTGTAAGTTATGAATTTAATAAGCTTATTGTGTTATAGTATCTATTTTAAGACATGAAAAGTTTTGCTCAGAATACAGGGTTGAATACAGGGTTCCGGTGCTTCTAAATTTTTTGAATGAAATTATAATTCTAACCAGAGTGCACTGGAGCTTCAAAATCAGACAAACTCCACTAGTCACCTGAATCTCAGTTTTAGTGGAGAATACTTTTAACAGAAAATATTTAATGTCATATTTTATTTAGCAGTTAGTAAAACTGATATTGGTAATAAAAAAAAAACAGAATAAATTACTGAATGGGAAGATTTTCAGCAGCTGAGGGAGAAAATCCATCCTGTAAAAACATGAATTGAAGAAGGAATTTTTATGGGTTATATTCACTTGGGTCAAAATATCTTTAAATAGATTCGAAGCCAAAATAAAAATACACATGTATCTCAGTACGAAGAAAAATATTTTTCATTGCACTAGGATATATGTGTGGAGTATATAGCAGTTAGCGGAGGCTGATTACTAGTCTGAAAGGCAAGGTAAGGGTTTCAATCCTGTGTAAGATTCTTAACCCTTCTCATGAGCTTAATATCAGAGCATCCCTGATAGTGAACTCTGTATATATTGCTTTTTCGATGATGAGACAGTTATATAAATAACTATCTCGGCTATTCTCAACAAATATATGAGAAGTATGTGTCTGACTATTTGAGAAAAAAAAAAAAAAAAAAAGGAGAAGAGAAAAAGGAAACCTACTTTTTATCCTCTGTATCACATCTTATTATGATGATCAACCTTACCTTTCATTTCTTTAATTATTTCATTTAATTACCTTTCATTTCTTTAATTATTTCACTTAATGTTTTTGAAATTATATTAATATATTATCATTTACCCCTTTTCATTTAATTTTTAGAATAGTTTAATTCATTATTTACTCAATTAATAGCCCAACGGGCGTTAGCCCAGAAGTGCTATTAATTTCACTTTGGCATTTTGTGTGGATTCACTTTTCAAACTGTTGCCACCAACTACTACAGTCCTGTATTATATTTAAAGAAATTAAATAATGAAGAATCTACATAAATGTATGTATGTTTCTCGCATTATGATAAAACAACGGTACCTAAAGCCATAAAATTTTGAATAATGTAATCCTCCAGAGAATATGGGCATCTGGAAGCTCTAATTTGGAATTTGTTTTATTATCTATTTAATATTTTTTCAGACATTAAAGAATTTTTTATTAAGAAACTCAACGATTTCAAAGCGAGGAATGGCAACACTGTACGAAAAAAACATTTTTATCTCTAGCAAGCGAGACTGTGTATGGGAAATTCTAAAGATGTGCTCATTTTAAAATTATTTTGGGTGGTTTAAGTGTGAAGAACAAGATATTTAGCAAATAAAGGTAACACACAAAATGTAAAAAAACGCCCCTTTGAGCGTAATGTAAAATCTAAAAGCTTTCAGATTTTTTTAATTAAATTAATTTATCAATATTTTCATCCCTTTATATTTTATTTAATTTTTCATTATTTATTGCTTTATCTATTATTTTATTTACACCTTTTTTGTTCCCATTTTTGTGGGCATTCCATAGAATTCCAGCACTTCTAGTTTTTAATATTAAGTCCTGTTGTAGTATGAGAACATGTTTAGAGCTTTTCACATACAAATGATAAAGAATAGATCTTTAGTAAATGAACAAATGAAAATATCTATAAAGATTAAATAACAGCAACAAAATATTAAATCAATTGATAAATGATGTACATGCCTTACTAACTAAAGAAAGTTAAGAAAAAATCCAAAGTAACTCGATGTAACAAACATAAAATCAAGAAAGATCCATCCATAGTTTGGGAAGAAATTCAAAAAATACTCTTTAAATTCTCAGAAACAAATATTATTTGTCAGAAATAAGTATTCTGTTCCTGATCACTGAAATAACCTTTATATATTTCAGTTCTTTTGGCATAAAGGTACGTTTTAGAAAAAAAACCTCTTTAAAACTTAGAGCCTTGACAATGTAGCAACTACTATTGTACATTTAGAAAAATTAGTAAAAAAATGGTGATACATTTTTAAAGCTAAATTTTAAAAATATGACAATTCATGTCATCTGATTAAATTATTTCATATGAAATCCTTTTGAAACATTATTTATTGAGGTTACTTTTATTAGAAGTACATCAGCTTTAGCTTCGAGGTCCAAATAAAAGGTAAATTTATCAACAAGATCTTTTCCTTTTGTAACATTTCTTTGATAATCGTCCACAAGAAGCTGAAAAATTAATAAAAAGTTGTAAGCAATAATAATGCAAAATAAAGTGCAATATGTAATTTTATAAAAGTATAGAATTAAATATATGAATAATAATTCCTAAAAATTTGCATATATACCCTTAATCTTTGTTCTTCACTTAAAATTATATTCAGATAGCCCCAAGGTAACCTTGGTAGATCTGTTAAATTAGTGTTGTCCAGCTTCAGTTTCATATCATATAGTTCTTTTAAAAGTATCCCAGTGCATTCATCCTCACAAGCTAATCATCAAAGAGCAAGGGGAAGAAATTAGAAATAAGAATTAATGCATAATATGAAGATAAATTAAATGCAAGGATTAATAAGAAAGTGAAATGTAAACAAAAAATTTAAGAAAATCTAGGATTTTGCTTAAATAGTCAGAAAACTTAATACGTATTCATTCCAAAGATCTGCATATTTTTGCTGGCATCCTCTAACAGTAAATTTCCAGGTTTATGCGATAATCTTTCTGTTGCAAAACCTCATCTGGATGGTAATCTTGGTGTGGCCCTGCTGTTGGATGCCCCAGTTAGTTTCCCAAACCCCTCTTTTCAGTTCTTTAGTTTCCGGTGTTGCACGCAGTAACTTACAGACTACTTTGTTCCATGCTTTATCCAAACTATTTTATCAGATGTTTTGAAACATGGTTGCTTTATTAGCACTGATTTGATAGCAATGTTAGTGTTTCAGATGTACGTGAGTTTATCGGATTTTCCACATTTCAAGTGTTTTGTCAGTATTTCTATAAATTTCTTGGATCTTCCTCCTAAATCCCTTTATTCAGATGTTTTAAGACATGGCTGTTTTACTATTAACATTTTGGATAGCAATCCTAGTGTTTTGGAAGCATAGGTTTGGTTTGGTTTATTAGATTACGGCAAAGCACTCGAGCGCTATCTGCCTTAAGGAAGGGATGCCTTCGTGAAGGACTTTTTAAGGGAAACTGGCTCGTATACATGTTACACATGGGGAAAACCACGAAAACACCCATGCAGCCAGCTCGTTTGCGGGGATTCGAACCTCGGACCGAACTACCAGTGTTCAGCGACGTTACCGCTCGGCCGCTGGTGGGCTTTGGATGCATAGGATTTCCCAGCTAAGTGCTCTGTTAGCATTACATCAGCTGTTCAAAATTCTTCTGCATCATTATCTCAATTTTCTGATACTGCATCTATGGATTTTCCTCCTACATCACTTTATTCAAATATTTTATAACATAGTTGTATTATTTGCACTATTTTGGATAGCACTCCTAATGTTTCGAATGTATTGGATTTTAAAGCTCTCAAGCGTTCTGTCGTCATCATATCAGATGCCCTAAATTCCAAAATTTTGCTTAAACAGAGACAGAAAACTTGTTGAAACTTTTCTTTCCACTTATAACATAATTTTCATTTATAAGAAAACAACAGACATACACTAATTGGTAGGGAAGACATCCTATTACAAAGAAACAAATGCATTGTAATGTAAAATCTGTTAGTGCACTTGTACAAGTTAGGACTTGTAAGCAAATCACAGAATATCCAGGATTTGTAGAATGAAGTATCCAAATAACACATATGTAAGATTTTTTTGCTGTATTTGAGTCTGATGAATGATAAAATAATGAATTTAAGATCTTGTCATATTCAGTATCAGAAATGAATAAAGAGCTTCATGTTAGATAGACCTCTCTGTCACTGGTTGGTCCTTACCTCATATTGTGTAAGAAACACAGGTTAATGTTAAAACTTTTGGAGATTTGGTTACAATAGATCTAAAAAGGAAGTGTAGAGTGCTATAGAACGTTCACACACACACACACACACACACACACAAAAAAAAAAAAAAAAAAAAAAAGCATACTAAATGCTGCATAGAGTGATGAGCTATAGGAGGCTTGTGCAAGCCCTTTTATTAAATGTCTTTAACTTGTTAGCCCCTTCTTCTTTTTGTTTGGTATAACAAATAATTTAATTCTACGTGAACATCAAAAGAGTTTTAAGGATTAAGATTGAAAGTAAGAATTTTTACAAATTATAGGGAAGAAAATTACTGAACTGCCTTCAATGTATTTAAAAAATAGATTATTGCAGCAAAGCAATTATAAAATTATGTATATTTAAAATGGTGAAAAGCTCAATGATGAAGAAATAAAAGCTAATTTTAATGTTTGTTATTCAAAGACATGGAACATGATCATGGCCAGAAGAAAATAATAAGATATAGATAATTTAATTTTATTTTAAATTTAGAAATAAAAATAAGTTATTTTTGAGATTTTTCTAAAATGGTCTGAACAGGAAAACTGCATAATGAATTTTCTAACACCATAAATAAAGCTAAATTGATTACATGGAATATTGCTATTAGTAATGCTGAATAAGCTTGATCTTTCTTCAGTAAGTCCAGTCTTTTCGAACCTGAGCAAGTGCAGCCTTTCAGTTCGATGAACAATAATTATACAAGATGAAGATCTTTTTTGACTGTGCAATATATTTTAGATTTAATGACAATCTCCTTAAATAAGAAATATTTAACAGAATTTAATGCTAAACCTCATTTAAAAGCTATTGTTAAAAAAAAAATTGCATGGCCCTAAAACCTCCTTGAAAATCAACTGATCTAACCCTCCAGCAGCGCAGCAGTAACCTGGCTTAAACTGGTATTGTAACCCGCATTCGAATCCCGGCAAATTTGCTGGCTGCATGGGAGTTTTCAAAGTTTTTTTTTTTTTTTTTTTTTTTTTTTTTTTTTTTTTTTTTTTTTTGTATGTAACATGAATGTGAAGTAGTTTCCTTTAAAAGTTCTCCCCTTAGGAAGATAACTTTTGTGTGCTAACCTAATAATGTGAAAGAAAGAAATAATGAGTAGAAACTTCTAAAAAAAACTGTATTGTATAATTGAATTTATTTATTATTTTTATGGTGTGTATTGGTGTATTTAATTATGGCAAAGCACACTAGGGCTATCTGCCTAAGGGGAGGGATGCCTTCGTGGAGGACTTTCTAAGGGAAACTGGCTCGTATACACGTTACACATGAGGAAAACCACGAAAACACCCATGCAGCCAGCCCGTTCGCGGGATTCGAACCTCGGACCGAACTACCAGTGTTCAGCGACTTTACCGCTCGGCCGCTGGTGGGCCTATTTTTATGTGATTTTTGTTATTTTGCGATTTTTTGTATTTAATTTTTTTATGCACAATAATTTGTATTTTTTGCTTTTGTACAACATAAAAAACATTTATCTATAATTTACATTTTGTTTTTATAAGATAAAGGTCTGAGCTTCTTGTTAAAATCTCCATTGCTCATCACAAGTTGCATTTAACATCACATCATTGGTTTCTCGTAACTGGAGACATTTTGCAAAGCACACAAAATATTTTCACTGTTCTAATATTAATAGGGACAGTTTTTTGAGAACTAGCTGATATAAGTTTCATGTTCAGACATCTTTTATGAAAGCTTTTATTAACAGTAAACCATCAGTGTGGATATTTACAATGGCATCACAATCGAATTGATTTGAGTGCTGAATAGGACAGTACAGTCAGGCTGAATCTCACTTCTACTCAAAAATAATGATTGACATATGAGGGTGACAAGGTGACATGCCCATTTGGTGAATATCTCTGCCACTTTTGAGCAACACAGTGCCTGTCTGCAATGAACTATAGTTTAGTGTGCTATTAGTGCTAAAAACAATTCATTTCTACTGTGCATATAGGAATGTAAACAAAATACCACAATGATGATGAAATGCTGCAGCCCTCTTTTCTGCATTTTAATTTTTACATTAGAACTGAACTGCATTTTATTTCTATTGGATATACAGGTCAAGCATCATTTTTTAATAAGATAACACCTATCCCTCACATTATCCTAAATATATTACAATGTATGCTATTGTATTATGATGTATTGCCCTGTATTACAATATATGCTATAGCCTGAATGTATTACAATGTATGCATTTAGCTCTCTTTGTTAAATTATTTCCCTGATCTCTTGTTAGCTGAACATTTGTAAAACATGAGTGAGCATTGATTGATTCCTCCTGCACAAAATAAACTCTTGGGTCATTTCAACCAAGCATGGTGCATAGTATCATAGGACATAATTTAGATACTTGTTAGTTTGATGTAATGAAATGTTCAAGAATGTATTCCCTGAAAAGGGACTGTAACATCTTATAGATGCCCTGCATTTAATTGCTTTATAGTTACACATCTTTGAAAATTAAATCATTTGTTAAATGTGTGATTATCTGTTTATGTACAAAGTTTAATATGTTCTCAATCATCATTTAATGGCATGACATTTTTTTATCAGGCAGTACACTGTACAAATACATTAAATATTAAAAGTTAAAATATAAAAAATTCTAATTTTCAAATGTACTATAAAAATAATATCTCTATTAGAAAAAATGGAAAGAGGTTAAACAAAACTATAGAAATGGGACATTATAAATTCTTAGAGAAAACTAGTTTTATGCCTATTTACATAATTTAAAACTCATAAAAGATCTGGCAAACATCATTATGAATAATGCTGTTTTTTCAGAAAATGTATCATTGTCTGCCCTGGCCTTTTAAGAACTTTCCATGCTTTGAATGCTAAATCTTGTTGAAGGTACTAAAAAACTTCTTCTGAACTTTACTGCTTTGATCAAGCATTTGAACTTCTGTGTAACACTATGATTTCTATCGTAATACTTTGGGAGGAAAAAATGGACAGAGTTCTTATGAAACTGTAGTTGGCAATAAACTGAGCATTTATTTCTGCTAAACTTTATGTTTAATTTCTTTACTTGCTTACTATACCCCCCCCCAAAAAAAAAGCTCTATAATTTATTTCACTAAAAATTATACATCTCAGTATTTTATTAATCTGAAATTACATACTGAATGCACACAATGCTTTATATTATGTACTTTTTTATACTTTTTGTTGATTAAATGCTCCCTTTCACAAGCTATTATGTGAAACACTATTCTTCAATATTTTATGTTTAGGTAATATAATATTGAAGCTCAATATTAAAAAAATGCACTCACATTTGCATCCATATTCTGTTAAAATAAAACCAGGACTACAAATTGTGCAATCACGTCCTCCAACTCCTTCATTGCATTGGCACTGGCCTGTTTTAAGATCACATTCACGATGGACTGAACCATATGGATTGCAGTTACATGGTAGACATTTTCCATCTTCTCTAGAAAGGTCTCCATAAAAACCAATATCACACCTAAATATATATAAGAGCAAAATCAATTTCATAGTTTTAGATTAAAATTAAATAAGCATTAAAAAGTTAGATCAAAATTTAAAAATAAACTAATGATCAGCTTTGTAAACTCTTCCGAACTTTTATAGCTTTAAAGGAGTTTTTTCAAATAATACATTTAAATGCAACCAATTCAAAGTTTTCTACATACTTTTGAAAACTTTCGATTTTTCAATTTATAATTTTGTTTACAATCATTATCGTTATTTCTAAATCTTCTTCATAATCTAAATTAACACTGAGAATTTTATATTTAATCCATTTAAAACAATTCAGATTATAATATGAATTATGTCAAAGTATTGAGATATATAGTCAAATTTATGAAATACAGTAAAAACCTTTTAAAGTAAAAGTAGTTTTAAAATTTGTTAAACTATAACACAAGATTGTTCATTTTATTTGTTTAAGTACATTTTTCCATGTAACATATACTTCATAAAATACAAAAATTGCAACAACAAAATTCTGTTACCTTTAAGTTGTCTTTCAGTTTTTATGCCTATGATATGAAGAAAACACTAAATATTCTGGTATATAAAACAACTACATTAATGGTATGCATAACATGCATCCTTCTACTAAAACCTATAAAAATCATTTTTCAAGATAATGATTGTAAACAAAATTATAAAGTAAAAGCTTGAAAGTTTTCATAAGTATGTAAGAAACTTTGAATTTGTTTCATTTAAATGTATAATTTGAAAAAACTCCTTTAAAGCTATAAAAGTTCAGAAGAGTTAACACAGAGCTGATCATTAGTTCTTTTTAAATTTTGATCTAATTTTTTAATACTCATTATATACTATATTCAATATAAATTTTAGCAAATCTTGTTCCCATTCCCCATTAAATGAGATATTACTTCTAAATTAAAACATTTGTTAACATTACAACAATTCACAGTATACTTTGAAAAGAGATAGATTTATGATTAAAGTCTCTTTAAAGAGTTAGAATAATTCCATTTCCAACTTAAAAAATTTAGACAAAAAGCATCTTAAAAAAACTCAGTCTTTTTCAATCCAATAATTTTACATTTCTAACTGATCAATTTTCATTAATAATAAATATATAAGTAAGAATACAATTAAACATGAAAAAACTATTGATCTCAAAAACGTTTCTTTCAAAAGAAACAAGGTTTAATTTATAGTTTGACAAACCTATGGGAAGTACTTAAATGACTATTAGCAAATCTATTTCATCTTTGAACAAACATTATAAGTTGGTACATTTTTGAGTATCAAAGTTGCCATTTATATTTAGCATAATCACATCATTCTCATAGTTTTGGAAATAAATGTATTTATGGGGTCACATAATTCACAACTGTGAGAGGTTCCATATCACAAAGAGAATCAAAATTATTATTTTTTTTACAAATAGCAAACTGCCATTGAGTGGATCTAAACACATAAATTCATATTAATATGCATTTTCATTTAATTATTGAAATAAATTAATAATGTTACTTTCAATACCTTTCCCTTTTAGAGCTCAAATTAATTACATAATAAAACACAAATTTCATGTAAATAATAACTAACATATAATCATTACGTTTAATCAAAATGAAAGCAAATACTCACTTTTCGCAGTGTCTACCAGTATAACCAGATTGACAGTTTATACAGATATAATCTAGAGCATCTGGGACACATGTATCACTGAAACTGATATGCATAACAAAATATTAATATAATGGCCATTTTATTATAGGTCCTCATTTATTAATATGCATTAAAAATAATTAGATAATAGTACCAACAAAAATAGTACCAAAGTTTTTTGTTTTTTTCCCCTCAAAATTTCAACTGTCTATATTCTTATACTCTTGCAAATTATTTCGGAAAACGTATTGGGCCTTCCAAAAAGTTCTGTGTTTTTTCAAATTGAAGTGAATTTTCATCTAATTATTTTGTTATTGCTGATACAGAGTGACCTTGATCAAAACGTATGTTTTAAAACAGCTGTTTCTACTCACATTGCATGATTCCAGCACGTCATGATTTTTGTTTCAATGCAGTGCTAAGAACGAAGAAACCAAGAGTTCATTTTTTTCCAAATTTTTCTCTTTTATTTTAAAAAATCCGATGTGGACACTACATGATTTCATCGTATAGCCTATTAAATTATACACATTTTTTGCTGCACTTCATTTAAACTTATTTCCTCAAATTTCATTAGAGATATATTTCTTATTCAATCAGTTCAGTTCTCACCCTGCAGCAAGGCAAAAGTACATAAAAACTCAAAACTTCATTAAAAATTGTAAAATACAAAAATTCTTAAAACACTGAATACAATTAAAAATAATTTTTGCAATTAAAATTAGAGTTTGTATGCCAAAACAAACAATTTGATTGACGGACAGAAAGGCACCATTCTCCGTGCACCGAAATTTAAAGTTAACTTTTGGTCCCACTGGGCAGAGATTCTGAAGTCAGTGCAAGAACTGACTTAATTTGGTATACTACTATGAATTTCCTATATAAATAAATTCCACCTTGTTAGCTCCACTTTCAAATTTTTGATAATTTTACAACTATAGCATACCGATTAACTAAAGGCATATAAACCTTAACCGGAACATAACATAATTCAATCACTCTCAAAATTAAAAATGCACAATTTACGAACATGTAAGAATAAAAAAACAGTGATCACTGAGTTGGCTAAGGTGGGGGATATATGTGATGATTTATTTTGTTATAGATAACTTGATATTAAATAACAACTTGATTGGGAAAGGCATCAATTAATTTTTTAATCACGGCCGAGAAAACTGATGCATAGTCAGACTACTGAAATTGCGAATGGATGAAATTTCAAAAGAAGCTTGACCACCTTGTAGTTAAACATAATTTACTTTTGGGTGACAAATGTTTTAGCCTATACCTTCTTAACTGGTAGAATACTAGAGGTGCATGACCCTCAATTTTAGACATGCAATTACATCTTATATAAGGAAGAATAGCTAGCAAAGGTTAAGCACCACATTGTTAGAAAGAACGTGAAGTGAAGAAAGAGGATGCACAGTTAGCTATGGTACTACTTATAAGCTTAAAGTCTTTGTTTTAAACCTCAGCAGCAACAAGGCACAAGATTTTGCATTGTGGTTACAGCAGAGAAAGAGTGATGTAACATGATGTGATATGCAGCCTTGAAGAGGGGATTTGTGCAAATAAAATTAAGAATTTAAAAGATCACTCCAATTAAGTTTAATTTTGTAATACATTTTTCTTCATATGTTTACATCTTACATACATAGTTATATATAAGATATACCCACTCCCTTGTACTTGTATAGCTAACTGATATAAAAAGTAAGATGCATAACTAGATATTATAGTAGTCCCACATACAAAATTTCAACATTCTACGGCTAATCATTTTTGAGTTGAGCGAAATACATATGTCTTCACGCACATACAGACATCATGAAAAAATCCCTTCTGAATCCATTTTACAATCTGTTTTGAAGGGAAAAAAATCCTTTACTCTGTCTGTAGTATGAATGTCATGCAAAAAATATCATTCAAATGGATTCTAGAGCGGTCAAAATGGATATTTAATTTGAAATATGACATACAAAATTTTTCATGAATGCAATACTTCCTTTACTTCATACAAGGAAGAAAAAAGGAAAAAAATTCTAGTCAGACTGCATATAAAATGTTTGCCATATATGGAAAAAGTTTCTGAGTTTGAAGGCATTTGAGAAATTGAAGCATAGAAGTTTCAGCCTCAAAGAAGATACAAAACTTATAAAGGATGGTTGCCATTCTCTATAAACAAGGACAATTTAAAAGAAGCTATCATTGAAAATCAAAGTTATGCAGTTCAAGAACTATCACACTAAATATTCCAAAAAGTACAGTACAGGATCATTTAAAGATTAGATATGTAGACTGCTACAATGTGTGGGTACTCTTCACTTAAACAAAACAGAATATTGTTACTTGAGTTTCAGCACTTCATTCTTTGTGGAAAAGAAATAAAAAAGCGCCTGTTGTGAAATGGCTCATTATTGAAGATTAGAAGTGGTTACTGTACAATAACGCTAAAAGGAAAAGATCAAAGGTTAAGTCAGAAGATCATACTTTAGTAACAATGAAAGGGGAGATGCATCCCAGAAAAGTAATCCTATGTGTGTAGCATGTCTACAAAGGAATTGTATAATATGAACTGTTGTCACCAAATCAGATAATAAAATTGAAAAAATACTATTTCTAAGTGGGAGCTTTAAAAGCAGAAATCTGAGCAGAACTGACTAATTGCCAAGGTGCTGTCTTCTATCATGATCAAGCTCACCCTTACATTTTGATGAATGTCAGAAGCTGCATATGTCTGACACTACAGGATACATATCTTTTGGACATCTTCAGTATTTTTTTATATCAAAATGCACCAAATGATCAAATTTTCACAGACACATGGCAATTTTTTATGAATAGTGAAAAATGCTGCATTTTTACATAATTTTAAACGTTTTTTAAGACGTCCAAAATTTGGGACCAAAATTTCTTTAATTTTAATAAAAAAAGACTATAAAAGACTTTAAAAAAGGTCAAAAAGGTATAAAAATAGTAATAAAATCAAATGTTTTTACATTTTTTTCACACCCCCTAATTTGAGAAAAAATCAAATAAGATGAAAAAGTACTAAACAATTAAGAAAAAAAGTGATTTTAATAGGATCAATGGTCATCAACTAGGCTCCTGGATTTTAAGAAATAAAATAAAATACAGGTAGGGAAATGTCCCCCCTCTGAAAATGTATTATTATGTATAAAAAATTAAAGTACAGAAAATTATGTAAAAAATATCAAGAAATTATTCTAATTCTTTTAATTTATATACATATTGCCCATTTTTCATCCCTTTATAGTAGAATACATAGTTTCCATTATTAATTTCCTTATTGGCCTTTATCAGAAAGTTCTCCACGTTTTTTAGCAAAAAAAAAATTCTTTATGTTCATTGAAAGAATCTCCATATTTTGTTTGAATTTTTCTCAATGAGATCAGAACGCAATTTCCAGGATCTAAATCCTTTAATTTTAGTGTTTTGGGATAAGATCTGAGTCTACTGAATTCTTCCATCTCTATTTATTTAGAATTATTTTTTTTTTTTTTTTGAACATTTTGCTTTCTTGCTCAATAATAATATTTATTAAGAGTTGCACATATATGTGCCAATAATTTAATAAGAATTATCTCGAAATGTCTTTTAACAAAATTTTCAGATAATTGTTTATGTAATTCAGAATTACGCCAATTAACTTTATCTTCATGTTTATATAAAATGTTTTCACTCAGTTCTTGATATTTCATTATTTCTTCCCAATCGATTACATCTTTCAATTCTTTAATGGTACATTCCAATAATTTTTGATATCTAGAAATTGATTTCATATTTAATTTTTTTAAATTTTATAAAATAACATTATTACTTAAAGTTTGATATTCTAATATGTTGTCCCAACCGACTACATCTTTCAATTCTTCAGTAGTATTTTCCGATAATATTTTATATCTGGAAACTGATTTCATATTTAATTTTTAAAATTTTGTAAAATAAACTCAAAAACTTATTGAGTACAGTTGAGATGTGTTGTGTCACTCCCCATATTCACTAGACCTTACCCTGCTGTATTTTCAACTCTTCAGGTCACTTCAAAATTCTCTGAGTGGCCTGGAATTAACTTTCTTGGAGACTGTCAATCAGCATATTAATAACTGCTTTACAGATAAACCTAACGACTTAAAAAAAAAAAATTCTAGCTGTCTGAGAGATAGCAAAAAGTCACAGAATAAAATGATGCTTATGTGATTCAATGAAAGAGTTTTATATTTTTGTATTACTTTATTCGTACTTAACATGAAAAAAAGGCAAAGCTTTTTTAAATGACCCAATACTTGTCTTTCCCAAAATACAGAAAAAAATTATATAAAACTTAAGTTACACATTATATAAAACAATCATTACCTTAATAATAATTATGTTAAATAAATATTTCCATATAAAATAAAGTTCAATAGAAAAAGCCAGAAAAGTTTATATTTACTTACCTGTTTGTGGGATGAGGACAAGCACAAGGTCTGCAAGGACCCCTTGTTGGGTCACCATAATATCCTTTAATACATTGATCACAGTGGTCTCCCATTGTATTACCTCCACAATTCTAAGAAAATAAAATTTAACTCAAGCAAGGAAAACTAAAAATTTTATCATTTGAAAATAACAAAAAATGAAAATACAGTGAAACCCATTAGTAATGAAATCAGAAACACTGCAGTGAAAATAGATTCACTAAATTCATTATAAAAATATAGTTTAACAAAGCAAACAAATTAATTAAAACGCAGAATTATTAAGTAGTCAGCAAACATTTTCTATTCGCCGACTACTTAATCAACAAATTTATCTTGTTTTTCACTTTCACATTAACTTGATATAAGATAAATATTTTTATGTACCATTTTGAGAATACAAACAAGTATAGGCTAAAAACCCTTAATATTATCAAGACTTCAGAATTCCTTCACAGATGGTGCTGAATTCAAGATAGTCATGACCTCCCAAGATTTCAAACTGAGCTTGTTAGAGAACGGTATCAAACTAAATAAACTTTCAAATGAACTCGCTCAAGAGAAGGTAGTCAAATATATCACCATTCAGAACACAGAAATTCTGTATGATTTCTAACAACATGCAAACATACTTCTTGTGAACAAAGCTAACTGAAACAATCTTCATGTAAGAAATAATTTCCCCTCTTCCTGTTTTTCCTCATAATTATTTTTCTGTTAACACAGTGTTTCCCAAACCTTTGACATATATTTCATATGTCAAACGTTCGTATAGATCCCTTCTATAATTTTCGTAACCCTCATAAGAAATGGATGTACTTTAATAACAATCAAAATATATTTATTTTTTATTTTTTTGTTACATACACAAAACAATAAGAAAAGATTTCAACCAGCGATCCATAACCTATGTTAGGGATAAAAATTATATTATATAAAAATAATCAAAATCAGTGAGACTTACTAAAGCACATAACAAACATTTCCCACAAGAATAATCACCCAAAATCTAAAAATACACAGGTGACTGGAGAAGCCACTAACTATTAACAAAGTTGTCTCTGTAGCGAAGTGTGACATATTACTGCCATGTCACACTGGACCATCTTGCGCCTCACAAGGCTGAGTTGACTCATGATGAATGTAAAATTAGGCACAGCTAAGCATGGTACAGTGCATATCCTCACCAAACTCTTCCTGCGCCCTTAGGGGTACACGTACACTTTGGGAAACACTGTCCTAATCTAACCAAATCTCCCTTTTACAAAGAGAAGTAGGCTGTTTTGATGAAGAGAAGAGTTATGGAGAAAACAGGAAGAGGAGAAAAATTATTGCTTGAATCTAAAATGAGTTGTACAACATTCATCCCTACTAGTTGAATTTAGAGGAATAAAAAAAGGGTGGATATCTGTTATTTGAAATAAATTTAATATTGCTTTTAATGCAAAAAACCATGATATTTTAATTTGTTAAAGTCATAAATTCATTGGAATTGAATTTGTTATAAATGGATTTGACTATACAATGTTAAAAATACTACATTCGCAGTACTTCCTTCCTCTCCCTTTTTGAGTAAAATATATAAAAACAATTGTTATTTTTCAATCAAGACTAATTTATTTTTTAATTTAATAAAATACTATACAGCCGACGTTTTTGGAAGAAAGGATACAACTTTTGTAAATACAAATGTTTTATGACAATAAGTGAGAATTTTGGTTTTATGGCCATGTTACAGGGTCTTTGAGCAGGAAATTCAAAGAAAAATAAATGAGAAATAAATTATCCATACAGTGTCCAAATTCATATTCAAAATTCTTTTACTTTATATTCAAATTCTATAAATGTGTGCATATATATCTTTCAATTCATTAAAAGCAAAATTTAACCATGTATTAGCATTATTTTAAATAATGAAAATGATGCTAAGTACATTTTGAAGAGGAAATATGCTCTCTCTCTACCTCAGCATGAAAAAAAGATTTAAACCTTTACAATAAAAGAGCATCTTATTCAGTAAGAAATACTTGAATCACAAAAAAAATAAAAATTTTATGACATTTCAATAACAATATTTTTTCAATAGACTATAGCTTTCTTATATCATTCCAACTGAAATTAAAAATTTTTCATGACTGATAGATGAGCTGGATGATTCTGTCTTTGAAGATATCTAGCATGAGGTCATTGAATTAACTGATGACAGTTTTCTAAATGCCTATCATTTGCACCTAGCCCTCACTCCAAAATACTTTTAATGCTGTGAAATTCTTAGAGCATCTAGTCCAGATTTTATGAGATGGTACAGAATTTCTCATTGAAAATTTTGTGATTAACTTTTATTTGCAAAAGAATGATTTGTCCAACATACCATGTGAGTATCATATTAGACACTGATCCCTTTTCATGAAAATATTTATTCCAATGTTAAGCACTTTGCTTTTAGTCATATATTTCCTTGATGATCTTCATAAATTTTCTTCTTCATATATTGATCTCTCCAATGACAGTGGAAATGTTATTATGAATAAAATAACCAATGATAGGACTCAACTTATTTCATTAAGAACTGATTGTGTATGCTACTTTTTCACAATCTTTTGTAATACAGAATTTCCCATACACAGAAATAAGTCTTTTACAGATGTTTACAGATTATTTATTTTTAGCAGATAAGAACATTATTACTGCTATCAATTTCTTTTTGAACTTCAATATTTGAAACACAATTTTCCTTTTAATTCTTTGGCTGTCCAAAGCTGAATATGTTTGCATTTTTTGCTTTTTCCTTGTAACAACAGCATCACATGCTCCAAAGTGGTTAGATGTACTTTAGAATCATGAATGATGTAATAACATGACATTCTGATTTTCTGCATCACTGAATGTGATAGTTATGTAATGAGGTATGTTTAAATTTTTGCTTCATAATCTTTTTAACAATACCTTCTGGCAGTTATTTATATCGAAAAAATGCAAAAATAATTTACTGCATGCAATGCAATATCTGCTATCTTAGTGTCAGTATGGTGTTGATTATATGTTCATTTTATATCACCTTGATCAATTTAAAAGGTCATCCTCAGAACAGAATGTTTACTAATATAACCACAGAAGCAAATTATCATTAAATGAAACTATACAAAATCTTACTATGCAAATTCCAGTTTCCTTATCACACAGATTTGTATGATTATTACAAGCGCAAGGTTCAGCCCATCCAACTAAATCCACCACATCTTTACTATTTAGATAATTTGGCTTTCGTTTTCGATAATATCCTGGTGCAGGATCCTAATAAAATGAAAAAAGGCTATGAATAAAAGAAATTTTGATACAAATATATCATAGCAGTAAAAAAAGCATCATTTATAAGGATTTAATTTTTTTTAATTTTTTAAAAATATTTTTAATATTAAACATTAAAAGAAACAAAACATTTCAATATAATGTCAAAATTATAAGCTTTGATTGCATATATATATACACACATACACAGAGTGTCCATAATTAAACTTAATTTGTGGGCAGTCTGTAGCAAAAGCTATGCAAGAGAATTGCATAAAAATTGGGTACTGGCAGAATGAAATGATGGGAATTTTATCAAGGAGAAAGAAACAATGAGCTTCAAAAACCTCCACTAGATGATGGCATTGTGCAATGTAAACTATTGGCATATGCAAGCCTTAATCTTGTGCGTGCACAGCAACCCTATTAAAGATGCGAGAAGCAAACCGCAGTCAGTCGGTTCCAAGTCAAGGAAGATGACGTTAACTCTTCATGAACATGCTTTACTGCTGAAATAGTTTTACCAAAATGGAGGCTCTTTGTGGAAATTTTGGTCTTTAAAGCTGTTACAAAAAGGTTCACTAACTAGTCAAGGACTAACAAACATGATTAGGAAATTTGAAGCAACAGAACATTGGGATTCAGCCAGAAAGGGGACGAAAGTGTGTTGCAGCACAGATAGTGAATGATGTAGCAATGCAAGTGGAGGAAGACAGATTGCAAACCATTGGCAGCACTAGTAATTGGCATATTGCAGCATCCATTGACCAACCTCATTCCATAGTTCATAAGATTCTTCAAAAGGTCTTATGCTACTATCCCTATAAACTGTCACTAGTGCAGCAGCTCTTACCAGCTGATCTAGGTAGTCGGCAAACTTTTGCGTTGCAGTTTCTTGCGAGAGTTGAGCTACAGGATGAATGACCATGTAACATTTTGTGGACAGACGCGGTCCACTTTCATATGGAAGGTGCGGTTAACATGCACAATTGCTGTATTTGGGCTGCTACAAACCCACATCATTTCCTACAATATCTATTACACTCTTTGCATGTAACAGTTTGGTGCAGCTTTATGCAGCCTTCATTGTAGGTTCATTTGTTTTCTGAAGAGCACAGTGCCACAGGGCCTGTGACATGCACCGTCACTGGTCAACAATACATTTCATTATTAGAGCAATCCATTATTCTGGATCTTCAGGCAAGGTGATGCGATACAACCACAGTGTTTATGTAGGATGACGCTCCTTAACATATTGCCTATTGAGTGAAACAAGTGCTCCGCCGCCATTTCGGCAATTACAGAATCATCAGCTGGCAATTTCCTACAGCTTGGCCTCTTAGATCCCCCGACTTGAACCCTTGCGACTTTTGGCTGTGGGGATACCTCAAGGCAATGGTCCACTGCAATCCCATCACATCTGTATCCGATGTTTAGAAAGTATAGAACGCCATGTGCATAACATACATTGGTTCATGCTGCTTTCAACAGTCGAACATGCGATTTTACGCTTTCAGATGGTAGCAGACAATGGTTGACATCATATTGAGCATGTTTTCTAAACTTTTGTAGATTATTTATATGTTCTCAATAAAGCTAGGCCAACTAGGGGTGGTTTTGGAAACTCATTGTTCCCCCCCCCCATCGATAAAATTCCCATAATTTCATTCTGCCATTACCCAATTTTCATGCAATTCAGCTGTATATATTTTGGTACAGACTGCTCGCAAATTTCAAGTTTAATTATGGACACCCTGTATATATAGTGCACATACCTGACATGAAGTTCCAATGTACTGTCGAGGACACCGGCACATTTCTACACCTTCAGCTAATGAAGTATATGTTGATGATGCAATATCCATTGAGACATTATGCAATCTAAATTTTACAAAATGTGTGATGTAGCATTGCTAAAATTTCAAACTATTTTATGTTCAAAACAAAATTAATTTTGTGAAAGATATTAAAATTTCTTCAAACAAACACAGTTCCAAATAAATCAGCATATACCTAAATATTAATGCACAAATTAAAGCACACAAAAATAATTTCAGTAGTTCATAAATAACATTAAAAAATAACATTTTATGTTAAATTATCAACATTTTTGTTAAATTAATTCTAAAATTCAGAGCAAAAATTTTAGTTTTAATGAATCATCAAAGTTAGTTGCTTTGCCAATGTTAAGTTCTAAAATAAATAATTAGTTAAAAAAAATTTTTAACACCTGATTCGGTGCAAGTTTCCTTAACATTCCTTAAGCTGATGGGAGTTATTAATATGAGCTGTCAACTATAATCATTAAATATAATAAAATCTTACTGCCATTAAAGAAAAATACCTAGCATATTTCACATCAGGACCATCTGTACCTCTGATAAGCATATACTGCAGATTTTGCAAAGCAACCATTAGAACACTTTTGGTTACTGGTAAAAGAGGATTATCAAACATTCTCCATTCATCCTGAAAAGGTACATTTTATTAATATGCTGTACAATTTAACAGAAGCATCTTATCTACTTTAAAATATAACAACACTTTTACACAGCTTAATTTCATTGCTTCGTGTAATATTTCTCACAAGTTAAAATGTTACAAATATAAAACAATTATTTTATAATCTATTTAATGTAGAGTGAAACAGAGAACAAAAAAGCACATTTTTAATAGCTTGACATTAATGTTCTCAATTAAATTATAATTTAATTTTTCAATAATTAATGAATATTATTTGAGATGCATCAATATGCAGAACCAAAGTTTTACTTTTTTAAAATAATTAGCATTTGAATATTTAGTATTCTTGAATATCACTTTTACATTTACAGATTTGAATATACAAAGTATGCCCATAAAATAATTGAACAATTTCTAATAAATAAGAAAAAGATTACCATCCTTCAAATAAATCTATTTTGTTTAAACTAATCACCGGAGGAGCGTATGTAATTTTTCAAACGTATGTAACATTTGATTTAATATCTGAGATGTTTTCAAATCTCTGTCTTTTCATGGCCATTTTTAAGCTTCGTAAAAAGGAAAAAATCAGCTGGCTATAAGTTGGGAGAATATAGTGGGTAATTTATCATTACATCAGAATGCTTAAAAAGATATTGCTATACGTACAATCCTATATGGGACTTGGCAATATTATGTGAAAGAAACCATAGCCCAGAATAAAAAAATTCCTTCCTAACTCACCATATTCTCTTTTTTAAATGAAAAAGTAATTTTAAGTAAAAATACTGATTAATTAACTGATTTTCAGAGATAAATTCATGATGAATAAGTCCTTCATAATCAAAAAATGCAATCAACATTGCCTTAGTTTTTAATTTCAACAACCCTCCTTTTTTTGTATGGAAGAAGATGGGTGCTTTCCATTGTGTCTTTTGTCTTAATGTTATATTATAGACAGTAGGTTTAATTTCTCTCCATGATACACTTTAAAAAACTGCTGTTCTGCCTTGCAGTAGTCAGCAAATCTTCACAGCAAACTTTTCTGCTTTCTTTTTTACTGTGCTGTCAATATTCGAAGCAGAAATCAAGCACAAACTTTCCTCATTTTCAGATTTTCAATTAAAATTAACCTACAGCTTTCTTTGCTTATTTCCAAGTATGTCTGAATGTTGTTGAGTTGTTACATGCTCATCAGCTTTTAGTAAAAAACACATTTTCTCTAGAGTATCCTATCTTTGGCTCATCTTTTAATGCTTTCATGCCCACATTTAAAGCAGTTGTACCACTCATTCACTCCTTTTCATGAGAATGGTGCATCACTTTATACTGTTTTAATCATCTCTAATGTTTTGGTAGCAGATTCACTTGATTTGTAACAAAATTTAATGTTATAACATTGTTCCATCTTAAAGCAAATTTTTTTGTACAATGCCTTCTCAGTAAATGAAAATGACTGAAATTTTGACATGCAAATGACAAAACACCCAGTTTACTATCTTTAATAAGAGTTGAGATGTCACTCTTTCTAAACATACATTCATTCTTTCCCTTTTTTATTTTATCATTTGGTCTTTTAATATGTCCAGCTAATTTCTATCTTTATAAAATATTATTTATTCCTGAATATTAGTGGCACACACTAGTAGCTTCAGATGGCATCCTTTACTATCTGCTAATATATTTAATTTCAGTCAATAAATTAGAATGTTTATACACAGTCCTTGCTTCAACATTTTTGACACTTTAACAATCAGTTCAATTGGTGCACCATAAAAATTAAACACATTAATATTTAAAAAAGTACCTTTATTTAATTAAAACACAATATTTTTTATGATTTGTAACCTGTTATAAATAAGCTCATGTTTTTTGTAAGAAAAAGCTGCCAATGATGTTACCATATTGTAATTTTCTATTGATAGAAATACAAGGAAAGCTATCTTTTATTGATCTAAGCATGGCTTCAAGTATAATTTTACTTTCATTCTACTAATTTTAATTCAGTTACTAATTTTACTTCAGTAATTATTTTCAGTCTTCTTTTAACCTTCACTGTAGATACTGATACCAGAACTGTCAAAAAACTGAAATATGAATTACTAAAGATAAATATTTTATAAAGAGTACATATGAATGTAGAAAGCAACTTTTCTTATTATATTTTTCTACTATGGAAATGAGATGCTTCTCTGGAAATGTATCTTCAAGATTAATATCAAATTGGTGGCTGATTATTGAACCATAATGCTTCAACTTGTTTGCATTAAAGCATAATGCAAATTTTTGCAATTTTTTGGCAGTGAGCTGTTCAAATCATTTCTCTAGTGAAGAAACTGTTTAGTCCAAAAGAAGATCGAAAAATATTCTAAAACTTGTAAAATTATAAGGATAAAAATGTAAGACAATCCTATATTTAAATAATTTCAGCACTCATTTTTAAATATTCATTTATCATAGCCTGTGCTTCACATCAGACATTCAGACACCGGTGGTTTTGTAAACGTATTCAATGACATAGTACTCCATGCTTAAATGACACATTTTAACCCACTTCAGAAAATAACTTAGACAGTACTTTTGATAAATAAGTACCCTAGGCAGCTACTTATGCCACCTATACCTAAAATTAGGCCTACTAGTATATAAAAAAAATTCAACTAAAATAAATAAAGGGCAAGACTATTTTGTTTGATTAATATTGGTTACATCAATATTGTCTGGCAAATTTATATTAAATGGATACTAATATTAAAAATCTGAGCACTAAAACATGAATGAACTAACCTCATGCAATCTCACTCTATAATTTGTATGAGGATGCACTATGCCATGGCTGTGAACTAACACAATTCTTTGATTTCCTTGAAGAATGATGAGAGGATACCTCTGTAAAAGTTTATCAGGAAAGTGAGAGTTCCCACGGCTTTCTATATTGAAGCTTAAAAAGCCATTATAAGACAATACCTAAAAATAGGAATGAAAACATTATTTATATAGCCATTCAGAAAAATGATTACCAAATCTATCCAACTGCAAATTGGTTTTTAATAATTTTTTCCTTGGTTAAAAAAATGTATCTTGGCTTAAAATCAGTATCAATAATGTGATTAGTATGATTCTTTTGTTAATTATTAGGATTTATATTCAAATTTCTTATGGTCAGCTTTTAACCAAATAAATATGATTGCATCTCATATAATTCCTCCAGGTATTATTTTTTTCTTTCAGAAGCATACAGATACATTTGCCATTTGGGCAAACTTTATTTCTGTATGAAAACACACATTTTAACTCAGATGTTTGCCCTATGTGCCTATTCTTCACACCTTTTTATCAAAATGCATAAAAAATAAAAGACACTCTCATGAAAAGCCAAAACTAAAAATTTTTAAGAAAGATTGCAAAATGAATAAATGCGAAATTGTTAAAAAACACTGTATATTTTTGGGGTCAGTGCTGAAAACAAACAATTCTGAAAACAGAAAAATGAAAGAAAGCAATACTTGCAGAAAAAATATTCAAAGAAGTTGTATACTCAAGGCAGAAAACTTCCTGAGTTTCAGGATATGTTTTGCTCAAGTTTTTTACTCAAATATTCTGTTGTCGACGAAAGAGGAAACAAAATGACATTACTGTGAAAAACAATTGTTTTTAAATTGGGTGGTTACAAAAATTTAAATTACGCTATGGAATCTCATGCCATGTCATAAGAAAAGAATGTCATGTCATGTCATAAGAACATTATTTTAAGAATTTGTTCCAAAAAAATGGATGGCTACGAGCAGAAAAACATTTTAACATTTATGAAATAGTCATCTTTTATCTCATGCTTGCAATAAACGCTTAAAAGTGAGCAATACAATGAATTCATGAAAAGTAAATTCTATCAATATGTCCAAATGCTGATAGAAAGGAAGAAAATATCTCCTGCAGTCACAGAAAAATTGTAAAAAACTAAGATGTTTAGAAATTTTTTAATTTTGTAATGCCTTTAAGGAATGGACAATGTAGTACAAGGATACTAAAATTTTTTTCTTCTCTGCGTTAAATGTTATATAATTTGAAATCAGGCAATTTTAAAAAATGAAATGCTTCAACATTTTTACACATACAATATACATAAAAATACTATAACCACAAACTTAAATTCACATAATATCAATAGCAATCGCCTTTATTTTAATTATTATGGCCAAAATACTTGCATATCATCTTAATGTCAACTAAAATTTTGATTGTACGCCTTTCTCCTTTATATGCCTTGTTTTGGTTACTTGAAATATGTGTAAATAGTGCTTTATTATGCTTCTATGAAGAATAAATGTTTCTCAAATGCAAAATAATATAGAATTATAGAAATTCAAATATATTTTAAAGCAAAATGAATAATGTAATTCTTTTTGTGAAATCTAAACTAGCATCATAAGAGAGATAACCAAATTGTCAATAAAATCTTCGGATTATAATCAACTTGTACTCCTCTAAACAAAAAAACAAAAAGAATAAAAAAAAATAAAGAATAAGAAAATAAAATTTAAGAATCAATAGTTACATTTAAAATTAATATCCTAAAATTAGTCAAAAAATTATATCCTTCCTCCTTTTTGTTGCACAAACTACATTTCCATAGTCTGCCCTCTTTTTTGGTGACACAAGGAGAATTTTCTTGAGAAAGAATAATCTTATAAAAATGCTTAGTTTATGATGATGTCAAAACATCTAATTGTACATTTTAATGTTTTTGAATGCAAAGAAAATTTGTTTGCCATTTCATGCATTCTTAATTTTGTTAATGTAAACATTCAATACAGATCTTTAATTTTATAATCCATTAATAGAAACATACGAACATGTTTTTTTTCGTTTGTTTGTTAAATCTTATTTGACGTATTTCAATAATTGGTTTCAGGTAAGTTTTACAATTTGCTTTCAATTAATCCTCAAAAGCAAAGGGGAGTATTTAGAGATGTTTAAAGAGGTAATATTTTTATATAACTAGCATTTTTTTAAAATTTCTTTCTTAGAATTTGTTAAAGATTCATAAAAAATGCAACAATAAAAAACATTCACAACTGAGAAATATGCAAAAACTGTACAAGTTTGTTTTCAAAATTGCAACATAAAAATTTCAGCCTAGTGAACTTTTATGTAATCATTACATTTTATGATTTCTCACTGCATATTTTGGAGATAAAAATACCATGTATAATCTCTGAATGTTCTGAAAGACTCCATCCAGTATGAAAGTTAATACAGAAATTCAGATTACAAGCAAAATAGACAATTACAGTTTTACTTTGCCTGATAAGCTAAAATAAACAAAGAAGGATTATAATTTCACCATTCTCATATTCTTAGCAACTGCAATATTACTTCATGAAAGTTTAATTTCAAAATATGTATGTTTCATAGAGTTAGCTTTAATTGAATGAATGCAATCACAAACTTTAATTATTTTAATCAAAATTTTGTATGTTAGAAAATAGCATATTTTCATATTGATTGTTAATTAGTGAAAAAATAAAAGATATAGAATTCTTGCAAGAAAAGCACGCACACACTAAATTAGTATGTATATATTACTCAAATTTGTATCTTTAATACCATCTTTTAATACTTCATTATTTAATTAAAAGACTTTCCAATCAGTAATTAAACTAGATTGGTAGAAAACCATGGCTGCATTAATAGAATGCTTAGAAGAAATACGTAAATGTTATCAAAACATTATTCACAATATGTAGAAAAATTTTTCAAAATTTAAGCTGGTGAGCAAACAGCAAATTGAGAAATGAGTTAGGACAGTGGTTCTCTGCCTTTTTTGTCTCATTCTTCCTTTCTCTCCATGCATCAGACGTCACTTGTATAGTTGATTTTTAATTTAAGCATGATATTCCAAACAGTATATAAAATGAGAATATTTAATATTAATATCATATAAAAGTATAATATATTGTATTTCATAAATAATATTGTTTATGCATTTATTAATATGCAAATTATTATTATCGTATTTAATAAAGACAAATTATGAAAAATGTTGTTGTTTTTGCTGTTTTAAGCTTAACTTTCAGGCCTTATTTAATTTCAACTGTGTCAGTCGAGAGTGTTTCGTGTTTACTAATCAAAGTTAGACAATTCTTTGAAGCCACATGAAGAAGGAGGAATAACTCAGCTGAGAAACTTTAAGTCATGATTTTTCCACCTAGTGTTTTTGCATAAAAAAACACACAAACTTCAAAAAATGTGTTTTTATACAAAACAGTACATGGAAATAATGACTCAATCAATGGAATGACTAAGTCATTATTTCATGAAAGGAAGAATTGCAATACATACCTTTCACAAAAAATTAATTTAAAAAAAAATAAATTTTTTTCAGTCAGGATTTCTATACATCTTGCCACCAACTAAATTGATTTAATATTTCTTGTTTGCAGTTTGAATAAGTATTGGGTCTGTCCATAAATTCGTGCACACTTTTTGGTAAATTTTTAAATAATATAAAAAACACAATTAAACATTTTAATCAATTATATATTTTCCTCCATTATCTACAATGTCTCGCTTTCTTACAGACAGCTTTTTTATGCCATTGCTGTAGAAAGACTCTGGTTTTGATGCAAAAAAAATTAGTACATCAAGTTCATTGTGTACATCCTGTTAAGAATTTAATTTTTTTCCCAGTGAAAAATTTTGTAAGGCACGAAATAAGTGAAAATCAACTTGGGGCAATATCTGGGGAGTAAGCAGGATGGGTCAAAGCTCCAATTAAATTCACATTTTTGCAGCGTTGTTCGAGCCGTATGCGGTCTACTTATCATGAAACAACACTTTCTTGATATTCACCAATCGTGGGCGTTTTTTTGATCAATTCTGAGTTTAGATGGAAAAGTTGTTCACTATAAACTTCTGATTGATGTTTTGATTTGGTTAACATTCAGAACACCTGAATGGGGTTCATCATCAATGCTGCTTTTTCCAACTTTAAATTTTTTAAACCATTTCTGGGCCTGACACTTAGTGTGTTCCCATGCACCTACTATGCTGCAAACCTGGCAGATTCCCCAGAAAAAAAAAATGTCACAGCATGTTTGTACTGAATATCTATATTCATCTTTTATGGGTACTAAAATGCGTTCGATATTTATGAAAGTTGGTGATGAAGTGAATAATATGTTAGTTAAACGATGACAAGTTTCAACAGGTTCAAAATTGTATTGTTTTAGTAAATGCATACTCCTAATGCGCACAAACTTATGGACTGACCCGATATATCTGCACAAACCAACAATTACCCTACCTCTACAAATCTATAATATAAAACAAAGACCAAGAATGGCGAAGGATTTTTCATGACACAATTATGGAACAAATGCACCTTTGTAAAAAAATTTTTAGAATAGTTCTCAAAGTTCCCAAGTAGTTCCAAGTTTTATATATAAATATCTTAATATGGAATATTTGTTTTACGGTATATAGTTTATATACTGTAAAACGAATATTCCATATTAAGAACATAGCTGTGAGATTTTTAATCTCCTTCAGATGCCTAAAAGCCTAAAAGTGTTATTCATATAGAATGTTTAAAAACACTAACAGAATTTTACATTTTTTCCCCATTAGCTTTGATACAGAAGAATTAAGCTTCATACTTATTTGTTATTTTAACTTTTGATTTGTGATGATTATTAAATTATTTTAAAGGCAATACAATAGTTCCTTACACTGTTTCTTATTCATGATATGGGGTTTAGTTACCATAATAACAATATATCTTTTTCTAATTTTTATGCAAAGAAAGTAATCCCAGCTTTTGCGAATACAGAAATTAAACTAGCACATGCTTTACATACATCCAGGTATTCATATTCTGGTTGTAAAAACAAATGAAAAAGCAAACCTGAAGTTAATACATTTATTGTTTTAATACTGATACTCCACTAAGGAGGATTTAT